GCTATGCTTAACCGCCCGGCCTCCTTGCCGATTCTGACCAGAAACTGGCGCACAGAGCTGGGATCGAACCCGCGCCTCTCTGCGCCAATCCTGGTACTCTGAACTTTAACCACTGGGCCACCCTGCCCAGTTCTGGGCCACCCTGCCCAGTTAATCATAATTCTGCTATGCTTAACCGCCCGGCCTCCTTGCCGATTCTGACCAGAAACTGGCGCACAGAGCTGGGATCGAACCCACGCCTCTCTGCGCCAATCCTGGTTTTCTGAACTTTAACCACTGGGCCACCCTGCTGATGAATAAATGAGGGCAAATAGACGGAACACGTCCAACGTTACATCCGACGACGACTCAGAGACGGAGGACGACGAAGGCGACGCATCAGCGTGACCTTGGACTACGACGTCCTAAACTCATCATAAGGTAAGGTCATAAGGTCATAAGGCAAATATTATTTTTTTGTCACGTCACTGATGCGTGAGAGCGACGGGTTAAGGTCCGCTAAACTGACGGGTGATGAGGGAGTGACGGGTGATGAGGGAGTGACGGGTGATGAGGGAGTGACGGGTGATGAGGGAGTGACGGGTGATGAGGGAGTGACGGGTGATGAGAGCCAAAAGTGAGAACCTGCAACACGTGCGACAACAGCAGCAGCAAAAGCAGCAACAGCAGAATAAAAGCAACAGTGCCGTGACCGCCGCGACCGCCGCGACCGCAAGCACGGCAGCAACAGCAACAGTAACAACAACAGCAGCCGCAGCAGCAACAGCAGTGACAACAACAGCAGACGAGGTCACCTTGCAGTGGGGGCGATGAAGCAAAGGAGTAGAAAGCTGGAGAAGATAATAGAGGTGAAAGTAAGCAAGAAGCGAGAACGAACAGAGAAGAGGGGAACGAATGATGAAGAAAATACAGTTAAATAAAAATCAATTTTGAGGTTGAAATCAATTGGGAGGAAATTTAAGTTTCCAACCCTGCACTATTTAACTACAAAATAAAAGGAATCAGTTAACTTATTTCATCAACTTAGCATCACGTAATGGGCAATAAGCCACATCGTAGAGAATACCATCAGTTTCAGTAAACTTTTACCTTCACGGCGACTTTAACTACATAGTCTGATCAATTTCTGAGTCTACATTAATGTTGCTACTCGGTGCCTCACTGTATTTATGCAATATATTATCACGGTGCCATAAAAAATATTGCATAAAGATATGGTTTGCATAAGATTTTATTTTATAAGGTGAATATTTTATTTGTACAAGAAGTTAATACTGCTTAAATAATAGTTAATAATATGAAGCAATTTAATAGCAGTATTAAATATAATATGAATAGTTAATATGAAGCAATAATCCACTTAATATGAATCAATTTAGTTTACATTTGGATGATTTAATTGCCCTATCTCGCAACCCATGTGATTACCAAATCGGATTCATATTTCGTCTCGAAATGGTTCATCGCTTCTATAGGCAGAGAAAGTAATTTTTACCAGAAAGGGTGGAGATATACCGTAAATGACATCAACAACAAATAGGAATGAATAGAATTGACGACTCGGTTAGCAAGTGAATTTGTAACGAGTTCTATACATTATGTAGTATAACACGTTTCCTGGAAGTATGTTGATGAAGTCAACACACAATCTGGCGTTGCCTGCGTTTGCTTCACCAGGATCCCAGTTCTGTGAGACTGTGACAAGCTCTTCAGTTGCCGTTGCTCGGCTGTTGTGGTGGGAGGTAAGGTGTCGCAGAGCCTGTCCTCCGTGAGCATGAGACTCTCCTCGCCCGCTACCACCTGTTAACGGGTATTGCGATGCACGAACTGTTTTTGCCATAAAGCCAGTTTGTGAGATGATACAAATATTCGTGGTTAATTAGTTATGAGCATTTGAATTGGTGCTAAAGTAGCTTTCAAAAGATAATGACACAAACTACATATAGTGTCAAAATTGTGTAACCAAATTAAACCAATACTCCGCGTGGTTTCTCAGTGAAGCGAAAGTAACTATTTCGGTAGTCATCTACGTGAATAGTTGGTGTATTGGTGAAATGATATCAAGATGAATTTTTCATAAATCATCACAATTGTTAGTTTGAGTAATAAGAATTGAAAAGTTTGTTTCCCTAGTGATATAGTGCAACTTTGTGTACCGCGACAAATTCCTACGTACTTCCAAGGACTCGTGTTTCCAGTCTCTTCCCTCCGATATTACGACGCCATAGAAGCCGAGCGAGATTCTACGGTGCCTTTTGTCGACGGTAAGAGCCTTACTACTCGGGACCTGCACACTACACGGCAAGTTGCGCCTTATACTTGAACAAAACTTCAATTAAAAAAGAAAAAAAAAACAGAACATGCTTTATTTAAAAAACAGAACAAGCAGAACATTCATATTGACGGGACAAAACGAGACGATTTTGACAACAGTACGCGACAAATCATAGCTCCTCAAACACTTAACTGAACTCAGACACGTATTAACTTTAGACACTTGCTGAGACTGTGGCGAATTTATTTACATCTAGAAAAATTATTATTTCGAGAGACATCATAGACAGAAGAAAAAATCTTTATCTATATTTAATTTTATTCTATTAATTACGTGGCATAAACAGAGGTTTTGCGTTGAACAAAGTATTTGTAATTCAAAATGGATGTGTATGTTCCACAAGCTGTTGTCAAGAGCGTGTGTGGCACGATCGAGGACGGCAGAGCGTACGAACGAGAGCGGTCGCAAGCAACCCAACCTCGCCAATCAGTGGTGCCTAGACCAACCGCAGACTCTAGCGTGTTTCCTCGCGCTCCCCGACACGATGCTTTTCCACCCGCGTCATTTTCAGAGTTCGACGCGACCAAAATGCAACACGGTGACTATGCTGGTCGTATGAGGCCTGAATTTCAACACGAGACCGGCTATGCTACGAATCCTGATACCAGAGACCATCTTGGACACGCGTTCTATGTTTCTGGGTCTCCGTTAGTTCATCAATACCGTACCGACCAAGTTGGTGATTTTTCCTATGAAAAAGAGTCAAGCCCAAGTCAGAAAACAACACTGACGAGAGATTTCAATGGATCAGAAATGGAAAACAATTCTCAATACTCATTACGGAGTGACGGCAAAGAATTAAAGAAGCACAAGCTACACTTTCCCTTTGGAGGTTGCTGCATAAAGAAAAACCGAGCTTCTGAATTCAAGAATAATGCATCGTCGTGTACTACTCTCGAGGTCTCGACTGTTATCGACACCTCCACGCCTGGCCCTTCAGGTAAGGCTCCGTTTCAGTTCCCTGAAGCGGAACATCGTTCTGCTGAGCGAGGCAGTTTTGCCAATGCAAATTTCCAGGCCAGTAAAAAACAGTTGCAGCTTACTAAGAACACGAGTTGGTTCATGGAAGGAAGCCAACCAAAAAGCCAGAAGGAAATTTCAAAGAATGATCTCGCCCCATCAGGTTCCGATCTGTTCAAATTTCACTTCAGTCGAACTCCAAAGAAAAAAACTTGTGCACACAAGTCGCAATCAACGGCAAATACGCCATGCTCTTGCGCGGATTGCTACAGCTCATCAGTTCATAGTTTGGACGGAAAGCAACTGATGTGCGATTCTCAAAACAGTGGTGAAAATGAGAAAGTGCATCCAGAAGATCGATGCCATCATGACAGCAATCGCAGTCGTTCTAAATTCCGGTCTCTTTCCTTTGACAATCTTTTAAGATCAGGAGATGCTCGTCGGGACCACGAGTCTACAATTAACGCCTCAAGTAAAGGACAAACTAATCAATGTTATTTGGAAGAAAAGAGAACTCACCGAAGCACTTCAGTCACCAGTGATCGCATGCTCACCAAGCCTGTCCAATCTGAGGAAGACGTGAGCTCATCAGAGGAAAATAAATCCATTGGTTGCTTCGGAAAAAGCAAAACTAGTGGGCTAAAAAGGAAGAAATTATCCTCATGCCAAGATATTGATTCTGTGTCGGATAAGACTGCTAACGTATCCGGACTCAAACACAACTTGAAAAATCCAGCGTTTGTACCGGCTTATTCAAAGATGAAAAGGGAGCTCAATGTGAGCGAAGAAGATGTGTACTCGCGCAGTGGAATTAATCTGAGCTCTTCGGAGGTTGAGAAAAACAAGCGATTTACATTGCCCTCTATTCCAATTTCTCAAATTTTTATGAAGACTAAATCTCACGAGCATGATTTGAGTTTCAAAAAGGAGCATCAAAGCCCTTCTGGTGATCCTGAAAATTCGGATGATAGTAGTAGAAAGCATAAAACTAATTTTTCGACTGCTGAATCTGGTGACACTGAATTCGTCGTGACTTCAAATGTTGGTTCTAAGAAGGAAGATCGCTTCAACGTAAAATTACCGAGAATAAAGGCGAAAAAAATTAAACTGAGAGATGAAATGGCATACCCCATAACAACTTCTCAGTATTCAGACAATTTTGATATGCAGCCTTATTTAGATCGTTCGAAAAGACTGGCACAACTGGAAAAGCAAAACGTAAATATCAGTGTAGATGCTTCCATGGCCGATAACGATCCCAACCTCCATTTTGGAGGAGAGAAACATCAAGTTCCCGAAAGAGAGAAACTAGGAGCTCTGAAAATTAATTTACCAAGAACGCATGCATCATTGCAAACAACAGCGCTCGCATCACATAATATCAGCGACTCTGTTGATGCCTGCTCCGCAGATGTTAATTTCTCCGACATATGTGGCGGAATTGACTTGACATGCCGATCCGACTTAGATGGAACAAATGAACACTCGAGCTTCAATACTGCGGATCGAAACATACAGAGAATGCGTAGTGATGAGCTAATTATCAAATCTGAAGGTTATTCACCGAAACAATATGACACTGACTTGGATTTGAAGTCAGATGAAAGGGCAAACAACAAAGAGAGTTTCAATTTGAAAATCTCCAACTTCAAAGTACCTAGCTTTGGCTTGAGAACTAAAAACAAAGAAAAAATTGGCGATGGATATAATGTTGGAGGTCTGGATAAGAATATGTCAATGAAAAGTCAACCGCATACTGTTGAAATCGAACGTTCCAAAATTGAGGGAGACTATGAAATTCAAACCCCAAAATTACCATCCGTCGAGTTGGACGTAAATGCTCCTAATTTGTCTATGGAAGATCAAAATTTGAAGCTGAAACTTGATGCCCCCGATCTTAATCCCAAGCTTGAAGACGATGTAGATAGCTTCAACATAAATATGCCTAAATTCAAAATGCCAAAATTCAACATGAATATGGGAAAGAAAGGCAAGATTGGAAGAGATCTGTCAGATGTAGACTTGAACGTGCCTGACTTGAGTGCGTCACTCAAGACGGAAATCCCCACTCTTCCGAGCATCGACGGATCAGTCGACTTAGGTGTGCCGGATATGAATTTGGGGGCGATATCTGGTGGAATCGACCTTGATGGAAAAACACCCGGCATTGACTTCGATTTTCCCGATCTCAACCTGAAAATGCCAAAAGTTAAACTGCCCAAGTTCGGGGTGAAGGTTGACAAGCCCGATTTTAATCTAAAAGGTCCCAAAATGGGTGGTATGAGTGTGGATGTGCCAAACATTGATGTTCCAAAGCTCGATGTTAATGTTGAAATTCCAGCTCTTCCATCTATCGAGGGTGGCATCAGTGCCGAAGCAAATCTTCCAGAAACCGATATCAAGCTGAAGACTCCTGATGCAAATTTAGATCTTGATACTGACTTAGCAGCTGGCGGGAGAGGAAGTTTCAACATTAAAATGCCCAAGATTGGCATGAAAGGACACAAGAAAGGAAAGTTGGACATCAATGCTCCCGATTTGGATTTGAATGGTCCAGACTTAGACATTTCTCTAAGAGGTCAAGCGCCGCTTGTGCCAGATTTTGATGCCAATTTGAGTGTTGACATGCCGAGCGTGCCGTCGATGAAGGAGGCTGTCGATATCGACGTAAATGCTCCAGATGCTAATTTCGATGTCGATGTGCCGAGTGATGGTAAGAGTAGTCTTGGATTGAAAATGCCCGACATCAAAATGCCTAAGTTTGGAATGAAGTTCGGAAAAACTGATTTGGATATAGGTGCACCAGATATTGAGATCAGAGAACCCAAGATTGAGGGAAACTTTGAAATTGAAACCGCCAAATTACCATCCGTCGAGTTTGACGTGAATGCTCCTAATCTGTCGATGGAAGATCCAAATTTGAAGCTGAAACTTGATGCCCCTGATCTTGATCCCAAGCTGGGAGCCGACGTTAATGGCTTCAACGTAAATATGCCTAAAATCAAAATGCCCAAATTCAACATGAATATGGGAAAGAAAGGTAAGATTGGAGGAAATCTGCGAGATATAGACTTGAACGTGCCTGACTTGAGTGCGTCTCTCCTGACGGAAATCACCACTCTCCCGAGCATCGGCGGATCAGCCGACTTAGGTTCGCCGGATATGAACTTGGGGGCGATATGTGGTGGAATCGATCTTGATGGAAAAACACCCAGCAAGGTTGACAAGCCCGATTTCAACCTTGAAGGTCTCAACATGGATGGTGTGAGTGTGGAAGTGTCTAACATTGATGTTCCAAAGCTCGATGGTAATATAAAATATCCCGCTTTTTCAACGATTGAGGTTGATGTCAGTGCCGAAGCAAATCTTCCAGCAACCTATATAAAGCTGAAGACTCCTGATGTCGATTTAGATCTTAACACCGACCTATCTGGAGGAAGTGGAAGTTTCAACAAGAAAATGCCTGAGTGCAATATGCCTAATGCTCCGGTTCTTTCGTCAAAATATCGTTGTCTGGAACTAAACATTGAAACTCCAGGTGTGGATCACTGGCAGCATCACGAAATGGGGATTTCCAATGTCTTAGGAGGACCTCATGAATATCATGAGTCTATGGACGAGTCAAGTTTGACTGGTTATAGCCAGCCTTATAAATTTGGACTTTTGAGTAGAGGGCAACCTCCAAGCACCCAAGAACTTTTGCCTTGTCCGAGTCTCAATTCGATGACAGTTGATTCTGATGGACCGAGAATCTTTTCAGCTGTCAAGAGCATTTACCTGGATGTCGGTAGTGGTCTGCCAATATCGGGGGGCATTGATGTTGACCCTGATGCAACTGGAATCCCTTCACGAGATGAATACCGTCGAAGTAAATTTAACTCTCCATTATCGAAAAGAGGCAAATATAATGTGTCGAAGCCCAAAATTTTTGAAACTGATGATCTAGTTTTGAAGAAATGTACCGCAAGAAGCGTGAGTGGTGAATATTTGCCTGGAAGTAGCGTTCATTCAGTTGAAGAGAGAAAAATTAATGCCCCGTTCAATATTTATGAAGCAAATGCCAAAGATATTCATGAGCCTTTCTCCTCCGATTTAAAACATTCGCCCGACGTCCAACGACCGGGAGATTCGTCTTTGTCTATGATTCCAACTTTACATGGAAGGGCACGAAATAATGTAAATTTTAAAGAACCAACAAAATATTCCCGCGATAGTTCTTCAGAAAGAATTTTAAGTATTGATCTGGAATCTTCGTCTCAAGGTGCCCTTGTCGCTTCACCGAAAACTACTTCATCTATACCTATACGGATTAAAACAGATTCCCGTACTGAAGTTGTCACGAGTGAAGAAACATCGACCGTTAGAAAACGCGTTGAAACTTTTTCCGATCTTCCAGGTAAAGAGGAAAGTGACTTTCCCATGGATGATCAATTTACGGCGCGAACCACCACGAAACCATCATACATTCCTACTATTGAAGGTAGCAAAGTGACCGTGCGGAGAACGAAAATGACAAAACATGACTCGGCGCGGTCCGACTTGACAGATCCAGAAGCAACAGCCAGCTATTTTCATGACGACTCTGACGAAGTAGTTTCTGTTAAAAAAATAGTTCGGGTTAAAAGAATACGCATTACTGAATCAAGTGACGGACGCAAGGAATCAACTGAATATGTGACAACGTCTGGTGGTATGGACGACGATGACGTAATGAAGTTGTTAGAGAGACAGGGACCAAACGTGACTTCACGCATTACAACGAAAACCATAAAATACACACCTCAAACTCAAGGTTCAGAAAGTTATGAGTTTGACCCTCGCGATGGTGAGATCCTCAGTGAGACTCACCAAGTCATCAGAGGCCCGTTGAGTCTCACAGACCTGCTGAAGGACGACGCGAGACTCGCAGAAAGCTCCTCGGTCACGACCCGAGTGGTCACCGAGAGAAAGTACCTTACGGAAGAGGTCACCGAGTCTACAGAAGTCGACAACCAAGATCAAAATTAATGCTTTCAAAATTAATTAACTTTAGTTAGTAGTTTATTTTAGTGATTGATGGAATATTGTGATGAGATCCTCTAAAAAAAATCCCTCAACGATGGTCAAGCTATTTACGTGTTAACGAACCGACTAAGAAACGCATCTCAATGAAGATCATGAAGCTAACATTTCAGTAGCAAAGCTCACCTCCCTCTACACGCAAACACTTGCTAATAGTCAGCAAATTACAAGCTTTCAAGTTCAACCAACGCTGAAACTTCTGAACCCAATTCAAGGTGAGACATTGGAAATGAAACTTTTCATAATTTCACATTATTTCCAGGTTTATCCACTTCCTATGATACGCAGACAGCAGCTTATTTTTAAATTATCATTGAAATAATAAACCTTGTTGATTCAGTGTGGATAAATAAACGTTGAGCGACATTGACATTTTTGAAGATCATGAACCAGGGTGCGAAAAAAGAGGAAGCACCGAAAAATTTTTAAAAAATTTACGCCAGTATTGTGTTTATTGTATCGTGAATCAGGACTGATTAAAGCACGAGTGGTGGACCACTTTCACGAGTGATTCATTTCCCATGAACCACATCGAGTGGTTCACTACTTCGCACTGTAGCTGGATGTCTAGCTACATCTAAACACATTCATCACGCTGTAGCTGGATGTCTAGCTACATCTAAACACATTCCTCACGCTGTAGCTGGATGTCTAGCTATATCTAAACACATTCACCGCACTGTAGCTGGACGTCTAGCTACATCCAAACTTCAGCTGAAAATCACATATCTTATCTATTAAAGCTAATTATTATTGTGTAATTTGTAATTTACTTGTAAGGACTGGCAGTAAATACGTTTTCACAGACAGTTCCCTGAAAAAAGCATCCATACTGGTTGAAGTTGTTATGTGTTAGATTCGCCGCATCTATGGGTATTGTGGCAAAGTAAATGACAACCATATTTTACTTCTATGTTCTTATCTCGTTTTTATACTCACAAATGTTTGCTAAAACTTGATTTATTCCGTCTTTTTTTCGGCATCTGAAAACTCTGCGGGAAGAAGACGCTGAGTTTCGCCCGCCCCTCCCCCCCTATACACGTTCATCAATAATTTTTTTAACACTAAGAAGTGGTGAATAATTTATAATTAGCCTCAACCTTATACCGACTCGTTGAAAACAATCTAATTCCAATTGTTGACGAACAAAAGAGTATAATTTATGTATGAAGTCTATTGCGTTTAAAATCGTTCATGACCACGAAAGTATCCGCGTATTATCAGAAAATTCCCGGAGTTTCACTGGTAAAGCTCGCGTACCACAGTTTATGCGCACCACACTTTGTAAACCACTGTGTGGTTTTGTGTTCACATCAATAACGCTTCACAAGAATCGTAATGGTTGTGCCTCGTTGAGCTTAGACTGTTTAAATGCATTTAAATCGTCAGCAATATTAATTTAATAAAGATGACAAAATATTAAATGAAAATTGTTGGTAATCATTTTATTGCTGTAATCCGCCGTGAGCAACTGAGAAGAGGCGATAACAACAAACTTGATGCAAAGATATTCTCCCCACAAATTATCATGGTTATGGCATTAGTGTCATGCAGACATTGGGTATTGTGCAAACAATAAATGTCATGCAGACGAAACACGTGTGACTGTAGGGCGTGGCAGCCAACGTAGCCACGAGTACGACAGTCGTGCTGTGGCGTCGCTTCGGTGTAGCCTCGGGCCGTCGTAGTCTTGCAGACCATTCATGGGAGGCTAGCAAGCTCAGCCGTGTGCCTGTTGCGCGTCGTGGAGGTGGTGTGGTGGTGATGACTGAGGTGGTGATGGCGGCAATGGTAGGGATCTGTTGTTGTGGGGATTACGGCGTAGTGGAGATGACATAAGGAGGCGTTTTGTAGTGGTGACGATGGTAGGAGGCGGTAAGGTGGTGATGGTGACAATGGCAGGAGGTGGTGGTGACGATGGCAGGAGGTGGTGTCGTGGTGGTGGTGACAATGGCTGGAGGTGGTGTCGTGGTGGTGGTGGTGGTGGTGACGATGACAGGAGGTAGTGAAGGCTCCTTGCGTTGGACGGCACATCGCTTGAGGGGCTCGACAGATCGCGTGCCCTTGAAGAGGTGACCCCCGTCTAACAACCGAGCGTCTGTAGCAAAATTCTTCGCTCTCGTTGCTGATGTTTTCATTCACATTCATGCCATTCTTTCGTTCATGTGGGTTCACAACTGCCTCAGCCCTTTAAGAACTGAATAACTTTACATTCAGTTCAACAAAATGGTTCTCAAAACTGCGTCAAGTTCTTTGGCGAAATGGTAAATTTCAGTAACCAAGCAATTCTAAATGAAATCTCTTCATATTCTTCCTATTTTGAAAATGTGGACCGTGAATTTATTGGCATCCGTAAATCATGTTCCTGAACGCCTATGAATGTTTAATTCAGCTAGATAATAAACGATGAAAATTGAGTGTCGTACTATTACACTTGAACTGTCGAAACCCTCGTACGAGTATCTGGGACAGTGAAAATCTCTACCAATTCTATTGGATGCTGTGTGGACATATCAGACGTGCGTTCACATAGAACTTCACAAATGTCCATTATTCCTGATAAATTTATTAAATGTTTTGTGATGTATTGACAAATTTAGACATACAATGACACATATTAACATTTATTGGCATATGTTGACGACATGTTTTAATGTATATTAAATCATGCTGATATATCGTGTCATGTTGAGATTACTGCGCACGTGTATATGAATTGCCACCGCCGCGTCAGTGCAAGACGCCGCTCCCGCCATGCCAAGTATAGCGCGCGCGATCGTTGCTTCATTATATCGAGTGTTGGAGTTGTGTGTTAAACTCATGTGGAAACTGGGAAACCTGTGAGTTGAATTTTTAAATTTAACCTGTCTATTTGTGTGGTTAACTTGTACGTAGAATGTTTTCGAGTTGAAATTGGGTTTTTAAGTTCTGTAGTTGACATGTGTATTAAATGGGTGCAACTGTTAAAGTTGTGTGGTTAATTTGTGTGTTGAACTCGTGAGTTAGAGAAAAATAGCGTGTTGAAACTCACGCTATTGAAATAAACTCCCTCGTGTTAGCGCGTTGAAACTCACGCGTGTTATAGGAGAATGAGTTAAAATTTTAAATTGTGTCGTTTTCTTGAGTGTTGAAGGTGTCAGTCAGTGTTCAACTTGTGTGTTCGAGTTTAATGTTAAAAGGAAATCGAGTGTTACAGCTCCCTGAGCCCAAGTTCTGTCTTCAAATTCTGTTCTAAGAAGGAACGAGTAGAAGTTTTATTACAATGGCATATTAAAGTTGTTTGAAGTTGAAAAATTTTCAGGGTCAAATGAAATTGGGACCTTATGTGTCAAGCTTGATACGTTTGATTATTCGTTTGAAGATCGAATGGAGGTGCCGTGTTCGAATAGTTAAAATCCGGCTGTCGATGCTGCTTGTAAATGTTTAATAAAATTGTGACCCGTAAATTATAAATATCAATGACGATTTATTGTATATCGAAGTCCTCAACCGTAAATTGGAGCTTTGAAGTCAAAGTCGCGTGCAGGCGGTGCAGCGCGTGTTTGGTAAATTAGCGTGATGGGGCGGTACGACAAAGCCGTGCGCCGAAGTTTGCTCATTCAGCTAGCATTCCATCTTTAGCATCTTGTGGACTGATTGCAATCTGTAAACAGAGTCCTGTTGTTTAATCAAAGAACTTGTTATGCTGAGGATTGCTTCAAAACGCAATCCACTGTATCTATTGGTCCCATTTTATACAACATGAATCTGAACGCAACGAATCTCTAACGTTTTTAATTCAATTGCGTTCGTTGAGACTTTGTACATGAGAATCTTTATCTGTGTGTTTTTTATTACGTTTTAAATTGCAATCATCATTGGCGCATTAGATCGACGTTAATTACTTCTCTGTCTTTCGACTGAAAGCTGGTGTAGGACTGCTTGTAGATCTTCTGGCAGTGTAAGACAGGTGATAACAACCAATCCTGGGTCTCCAAGGTCTTCTGGGTTCTTGGTTTGTATTTGAGTTGCTATGGTAGCAATAGAGTGGGGAGAGGGGGAATGAAGGTAGGGGGGGGGGGGGTCTGGCGCCGGCAAGAGGCTGGGCAAATAGAAAGGCTGGCACTTTGCTAAGAGCGGTGATAGCATGAGCAGCAGTGTCAGCTGTCTTCCTTTTAATTGTATAAGCTGAATTTCTGCCTTATTATTTCATGTACTTGCCATAACTTTCAAAGGTGGATAGTTGATTTTGCTAAAAGGTGTGAAAAATCTACATTTTTTGTGTTCTTTTTTGGACTGGTTGGCAGCATAGATATTGAACTGTGATTCATTCAGATATCCGTGCAATTTAACCGTATCAACTGGCGTGAGCTACCGCCTTCATCTCTAGTCTAGATTTAAATGGAGAACGAACCGAATAGTACGATTAATGATTTGAGAGCCTGTTTAATATTTATATAGTTTTTATTGCTCGTAGTATAGTTGTGATTGGCGTCCTAGAAATGCTGTTTGTATAAATAATTAGTTTTTAATATTGAGTATGCGATGTATGACCGCCTATGCTTTATCGATATTGTCTTAATCTGATAACAGTAATGACGGAAAGACTTCGGTAACCGTTGCACCATCTTGATACATATACCTTTCCGCTAGACCGCAACCGTTATGTGCCTCTAATAACACAATTTTTCAACGTGAAATGCATTATTTACTAGATATACCTTGTTTTGAGTTGAAAATAGTTAACCTTTCCTTAATTTCTAGGCTAAACTAATACAGTAGTAAGTCGTGAAGTGACGCCTTGTCTAAGAATCCGTTCTTGAATCGCACTGATCTTATCTCTAGAACACTAAAACTTAGCTGTCCTCCATATAAGATTAAGAATGAACGTTTTACGGACTTTTTTTGGCTGGATTTCAACTTCTTTTGCGTGAGTATGTAGTTGTTAACTATTGATGAACTACCTTTAATTGATAGCAATTATTTAACTGTGCTGTCTACATAGCCGGCGACTTAAAGGTCCAACAGTTGATCGCAAGGTCATTTTGAAGGTCGCAACTTGGTTAGGGGCGCGCGAGTGTTGTAACGTTTGACAGTTCTGACGTTTGTTCGTGGTTTGTTGTGTCCGTGTTAATGGTGTTATGGTATGACTTCTGATGGCACAGTTTTTGTAGCCCTTTTCACATAAAATCTCAACCGAATTTGATACAAAATACCTAGTTGTTGTAGAATATTTGATAAACAATGTCTGAAAAGACAGCGACTTGTAAATCAGTTATTCGCTGATGACTGAAAAGGGTTGAAATAAGAAGCTGAGTAGCTAGCCCTACTGACCTACTCGTGAGTCGTGAGTAATGACTAAATCAGTAAATGAGTGACTTCTCCGTCGTGCCAAATTTTTCAGTATGATTAGACCTTGCATATTTTTTTGACATTATTTAATAACTTGCTCTAGCTGACTGATATATTTTCTTTCCTTGAATATTCCCTTTCAATTAGACCGAAGTTTAAATTCAAGCACTACCTTTATTTTTGGTGAAACATAGGCTAGCCTATTTTCTGAGCCACAAGTTCACAACCAAAGATTTTTTGCCATTTTTGGAGACTGTTTTGGAAAATTTGACACAAGCCATCCATGAATGAGACGAAAATTCCTGTGCAGGCTGTGATTACTGTCAATTGTATTGGTTTTTATATCCCTTGCCTAATTTCTTTGATTAAAATTAAAAAAATATATATTCTTGTGAATTATTTTTTCAATTAGGCTACCCATAAAACACATTTTTGATAATTCTACCAGTATTCCATCTTGGGTTGAAACTGTAGCGTAGCCTGTAGTTATTGCTGTACAGGGTCATCAATATTGAATATTTAACGTTACAACTTTGAGTGGTTAGAACTATGATTAGTATGATAGTATGAAACAAAACACAATTGTGAATGTTTGAAAAATGTATTTATGTAGGCAAAGGTTCAGAGATACAATTCCCGCAATTTCATTCAATATGTCTACCATCTGCATCAATAATGAGTTGTAGATGCTTAGAAAAAGCCTTACACGAGTCACAAATGACACTCTGTGGGATTTTGGCCCACTCCTTCAGGGCTTCAGCAGTTTGACCTCTAGGGCGTCCATACTGCTATGGTGAACGGTCGAGACCTTGCTCTCAAGGTATGACTAGATCCCAAAATCCAGAGGATTCAGATTGGGTGACGATGGGGCCATTCATCTTTGGTAATGACTAATGAAGTGGGGAACATTCTCGGACAGCCACTCCTGAGTCGATTTGGCCCCAGGGGATGGTGCAGACTGCAGACTGCAGAGTCCTGCTGGAATGACTAGGGGCATTATTTGAAGTGCTTTCATGCTCAGGGCAACAATCAACAATGCACCAACAAGGATAGCATCTTGATAGTTCTTCTGATTCAATTTCACCCCTTTGCCAACAAAAAAGAGGGGACTCCTTGAGGACCATGTTACGGCTGCCAGACCATCACTGAGGTGACGTGAGGTCAGGCATTGCTTCCTAGTAACCACACGGGATCCTTCGTCCCATTCTTCAACCAAATTCAATCATTTTGAGAGTTGAAGTGGTGTTCAACATTGAATATCTTCTCATCACTGAAAACGAGGTTTGGCAATGTGCTATCATGAATGCGGGAAAGAAGAATCTTGGATCTTTGGAGGCATTTGTCAACAACTTAGCAGACAGTTGGTGTTTTTTGGCATGCTTGAATAGGGGACAACTTTAGGTTCTTCCGGAGAACAGTCGACATGGTTCCATACGACACATTTGACTTTTGCGAGTGAATTGATTTTGAAAAAAACAATGTAACGCTAAATATTGATGACGCTGTATTTCAAACACATAAATTATATGTATCTATCATTCTAGTTTTTAATTGGTCTACCATCAATGACACACAACTTGCCACTTGGAAAAAAACTGCACTCAAGTTGCTGCTTGTCAATAAAATTGTATAATAGATTAATACTGTTTATAGTCTAGATTAGAACTATAATTGGTAGGTTTTGATTTTCACATGGCTACAAAGTTGTTTCGCTTGTGCCAGAAAAGTGTGGATTGGTTTTTTATAAGAAAGTTCATTTATATTGGAGGTGGGCAACATAAGTACCTACATAAGTGCTGTGATGAGTGTTGACAACTGACAAGTGGCGTTGATAGTAGATGCCAATAAAACTGCACAATTGAGAGTAAAGATTTCAGTGAAAAGTAAAAATGTCTACTCTTACAATCCCTTTGACTGTAATGCTTTTCCTCAAAAATTATGGTTTTGCTTACAATTTTAGAAGTGCATTTGAAGGAATTTCTGCTGCTTAACAATTGTCAAAGTAGCCACTGTACAAATCTATTATGTAGATCTATAGTTATATCATTCACCAATCACCGTCATTGAACAGCAACATACACTGTACCCAGGTTGTACACTCCTTAGAAACCATGTCAAAGCATCGTGTTGAGATGGTTGTGGTACAAAACGTTTACATTTTTGAAACTCTTGATTTGAATTTATCTAACTCAAATTTTGTAATGAATTGTATACTTGTTTTTCAACCAATTTCATTAAGTCTTTGTTGTTTGTCCCCTTTAAATAGTATGAAATGCTAGTAGTAAAACTATTTGTACCATATCTTGTAGAACCCTGTCCACATTAAACATATGAAATTAATTTTCTTTACAGGCTGATGGTTGACCTATGTTGAAGTTGATCCCAGTCCCCAATAGAACATATGGTTCTATTTGCAGTTTGATAGTACTATCCCATCAGTGGTAGAGCTGCTGCTCATGCCCAACTCTGGTCAAGGCTATGAAATTTGAGGTGAAATTGTTTTCCTGCCTGACTATTAGTTCCTCTTTGTTTTGCTGTCCCTTGTTCATAGCCTCCTTAAAAATATGTCAATGAGTATTTTTTTAAGCAAAATGGTAACCTTCTGTATAAGAAATCCTAATCCTGCCCTAATGGAGTCCTGGTTTTAAAAGAGTTGGCTGCCTGGTTTTCTTCGTTATGTATAGCTGTTTTTTTAGGTTGCTTGGTTTTACCATGATTTGAGTGCATCTAATGATATTTTGTTATTGGAACATAAGCTTTACTTTTTGGTTTACTTGCCTAGTGTATTTATAACACTATTGAATTGTACAAAAATATTGTTTAATTTTTTTTTGTTAAAGAATTTTCATAAAAGTGCAAGAAAAGAACTAAAGGATTTTTTAAAAATTCTTCATATATATATTGATCTTTTTGCATTTTACATTTTTCTGTTGGATTTGGGTATCTTATGAACTATTGTCTTTGCATTCAAATTTTCTACTGCATAGTTAATATTTTCACTATGGTGCTGAAGTAATTTGGTGAAATTTGCAATAAAATGATTAGGAAACAGTTTCTTCAATTGTGACACTTGAGAACTGTCCAACTTAACAAGACATTGTCATGATATAGCCTCTGGCATGAAGACAATTTGCAGTTAACCACCACTTGGGATGCTGGTTTGTCCTGCTGTTGAAAAGAAAGTTGTCATTGAATGGCTTTGTATGACATAGGTACCTAGTGATAACACTTTCCTAAATTGTCTGCATTTTTTACAAATTGTCTTATTAATTCATAAATTATTTATTAAAACTTGCATTGTGTTGTATAGAGGTGTGAATAATGAAAAATTGTGCTAGCATTCTTGAGTGTGAATTTTCGGTGATGCAAGTTTAGCCTAAATTTAATGTTATGAATATCAGCTTCGTTTTTCTTGGAAGCCATTTTAAATTCCTTTTCCCTGGAAAAACTCTAGATCCGGCCTTTTGTAAACCATATTTGTATTTATACATCTCTGACAATTTTGGATTTGTTGCTGAAAGTGCGATGCTCATTCAGCCTAGTTACCGGACATTGCTTAAATTTTACAATAAAATTTTTCAAAAATTGATAATTGTTGTACGAGTGCACATTGGTCTGTTACAAACAGTGTGATTAATTTGTTGATGCTCTGCATTACAGGAGAGTAGCCTCATGGTTTGGGCTGAGAGTAGCTGCTGTTGAAGGAGAAGTTGTGGAGCATACTGCAACTCCTCAGCAAACTTCAACTCAAGTAACTGCTGTTGAAGGAGAAGTTGTGGAGCATACTGCAACTCCTCAGCAAACTTCAACTCAAGTAGCGAAGTTGTGGAGCATACTGCAACTCCTCAGCAAACTTCAACTCAAGTAACTGCTGTTGAAGAAGAAGTTGTGGAGCATACTGCAACTCCTCAGCAAACTTCAACTCTGGTCAAGAGCTCAGAAAGCTTTTCTTGCAATTCTGGTCCAAGTGAAAGTTTACTGAGCCAGAAAGTTCCTAACCTTGGAAGTATCAACACTGATGAAAGTCTTGTTGAACCAATAAATTCTATCTCATCTCCTTCTAGTTCTGGTTCTTCAGAACTTGAAGTAACACCACCACAGAAAATACTTGTAATCAAACAGCCAAGGAGCAACGGATTGACTACTTCGATCGACCCGACCAATTGCACTGAAAGCAACGAACAACTCGATAGCCAACTACCCTCTAAAAGCTTGCCTCAGCTTAAAGCTAGTACTACTTCATTTGATGCCAACCTCCCATCTTTATCAGTAGAACCTCCAACTCTCAACGCAAAGTCAAAAATACTTGCAGGTCCTCCTCTCAATTCAAGATTAAGTGATGACAAGAACTTGCGCGTCTTGCCTGATAATTCAACTGCCGAACTTCTAGATATTGTTGCTTCAGAGCCTACATCTCGCATCACCTCCAACTGCTTCACTGCTGCGACAAGACGTTCATCTCCTGAAATGGTTTGAACCATTTTCAATTGATCTGAATTGTTAAGATTATTAATATTTTCTTAGTTAAACCAATGTTATTCTTGAATTTATGGCCAGCCTAATTCAATAATAAGGTATAAATTATTGAATATTGTAGGTATAAATTATTCAATTAAAATTCAGGTATAAATTATTGAACTATAAATATTAAAATTAAAATAAATGCAACTGATCTTAGAACAACTGTTTTAGGCCAGCTGGAATCTTAATTAATTAAGCACAGTTATTAACCAATGATATATGAACCTATGTTTTTATATTCACCTAATAATAAACCTTACTAAATTTTTGCTAGTCTGATTGGTTTTCAATCATTTTACTATTTATAGACTCATTTTTTTGGTGTGATAAACCTTCACCTAAAAAATATCTTGATATTAATCTTTCTTAATATTGCATCTCATAGTGACCATGCTGATTTTTTGCAGGGTCCATCTCCTGCCCCTGTACAGGTGCGGGTTCTCACTTTAGAGAAAAACCAGAATTTGGAGTCAAAGCTCTTCCGCCTTCAGAAAGGTTAGTGTGAACTGAACACTTGTTAAGGAGGAGGCTTAGCAGAATGAATAATGAAGATGAGGAAGTGGGTCAAATAAGTGATGGATTAATGGTCAATCAATGAATGTCAATTTATTCATCTGATAAAATCAAATTGTTGTCCAAGTTCGTGATTTTCATACCCATCAATATTGAGAAGTAGGTATGAAACTAGTCATATAATTTCATTTATATTTGAAGTATTGAAATGCGTGGTCTAGAGGTCGCAGTCACTCATTTTGTAAAGGTTTTTTCTCTATTTTTTTCTGTGACTTTAACTTTAAAGTGAAATATTCCTTACTACTGTTGTCATTTTTTTATTGGCCATGATAGCATAGCAAATGCTGAGTTGCTTATGTTGCTTAATAAATTGTCTCCATTTTGTGCACATTATTCGATTAAATCTCATTCATTCCAACTGAGATAATTCATTTACAAAGTAGAAAACCAGGCATCATTTTGGAAGAACTGGAAACTTGGAGACTTTAATGCAAGGTTTTATTCAATTTATCAACTTCTTTCAATTAGACTTTTTTGTCTGATCTTTAAAGTATCTATTATAATTAGTTTGTACCAGGGTTGGCAATGATTAAATCAAAATAATTAAATCATGTGATTAAATCACTTGATTTTTTTGTAAAAAAAATCATGATTTTTTTTTATTTTTTCGATTTTTTCATATATTTAAATATATTGAGTGGCAGTCTTTAATTTATATTGAGGTATTGTTATTCTTTGATTAGTATAAATGTATTATGAATGACAAATTGGTATATAAACTTGTTGCCTTTAGTGTGTATTAGGTTCAAATAAATTGAATGTTTTTGATACAGAGGCATCAAGTGTGCAATACATGGTACATAGCTAGCAGTTTAGCTAATTCTTATAAGGCTATAAGTAGTCTTCAACTATTTGACTATTTGTTATATATTGATTACAATATACAATTAAAATGTGTTAGCTAGCTTATACAGGGTGGGGAAGAACTGATTGAACAGTTTTGAGCTGAAATAAGAGTATTGGAGGTACATAAAGAAAAAGTTTATTTTCCTCAAGATTAGCATAACATACCATTTAAAATAATTATGTTTTGAAAACAATATCAGGAAGATGGGGTTTGTTAGCTGCATCACACTGTTGGAGTCGTTCTCGGAAGTTTTCTACAGCACGTTCATACATAGGGCGAGGTATGGCCATAACCTCTGCTGCAATAATCCGACCCCTTTGCTGTGGTAGGGTGTGAGGGCGACTTCTGAACCCCTTTCTTTTAGATGTCCCCAAAGAAAGAAATCGCAAATGCTCAAATCAGGTGACCTCACTGGCCACTGTAAATTACCCCTCAGACACCAGACCTCCGGAAAAACGTGCGTTTCAAAACATTGAGTGACATTCGGGCTGTGTGAGCTGTAGCCCATCCTGCTGGAACCACACGTCTCCCAATGCTTCATTTTCAACAATGTTTTCCATCCTGGGCTGCAAGAAATTTTGCAACATTGCAGCATAGCGATCGGAATCCACTGTTACGGTTACTCCCTCCTCTGAGAACGACTCCAACAGTGTGTTGCAGCTAACGGCCCCCATCTTCAAGATATTGTTTTCAAAACATGTATTCTAAATGGTATGTTATGCTAACCTCTAGGAAAATAAACTTTCTTCTTTATGTACCCCCATTCCTCTTTTAATTTACCTCAAAACTGCTCAATCAATTTTGCCCCACCCTGTATATTGAGAGGTTGAGATTGTATTGACCTTTTAGGCAATTAGAAAGATTTTCCACCCTAATACGAGTGCTCTAATTAGAATATTTAATTTCAATCTTTAAATATGTGAATTTAAAACTAGAAACAAAACAATTGCAATTATAAGACTATATATAAATAATTAAATGCAGTGAATGGATATAAAATATTTGAATTGTGCACATGTTTATTTCAAACAGTGTTAGCTTTCTCATAACTTAAGTCTCGTTTCAAGTCGTATGAGGTTTGTTTGGTTATCGTTCAGTTTATGTTTAGTAGGTATTGGTTTATTGGTCTGAATTAAATGGGAACTGTGCAGTCAGTCACTCAGTCACTACTAGTCGGTGTATATAGAGGGTAGAGTGTGGTAGATTTATAAAACATGAAACTAGTAGATCTATTGATAGTGCTGTGCACTGTGCTATCAGCTACCTATCTGTGATGTGACTCTTCAGTGTTTAGAAGATTAGCATTCCTGAAGTGTTTTTGTATATTGAAGCCAGTTAAATGGTCAATATTTAGCTTATTACCTTGCTCCGTACAAACTTTACAAAGCTAATGAATAGAATTATCTATAATTGTTTACCCAAAAATCCCTAAGTGGTAAACACCACCTTGGCCATTATTGTAGGCAATAAGTGCCCTTTTTAGCCATCCATTATGATCCATATACTGTTATTGTTAGTACCTAGGCTAATAGCAACATAAAAAAATAACACTTCAAAAAGACAAAAAAGCTGAAAAAAAATCAAATAAATAAAAAAAATCATGAAAAAATAAAAAAAAATCATTGATTTTTTTATTTGTTTGATTTTTTTAAAAAATCAAAAAAATCACCAACCCTGGTTTGTACTTGGCATCAACATCGTCATAGTGATATGTACTTGGCATCAATATTGTCATAGTGATATTTGTAGTGACATTAATTGACTATCCTTAAATGAACGAACAAGTTGAATCATTTCCAGACACAAATCTGAGAAAAAATTGATTTATGTAAAAAATATTATTGAAGATGATTACTTGCATTGTGCAGGTTGGGTGGTGCAGTTTCGGCAAGGAGCCACCCTCTTTGGCCAGTCGGTGTCACTGTTCACCAACTGTCCAGCGTCCGCTGGCGAGTCTTTCGTAAGATCCTCATACCGCCCTCTCCAATGGTGCAGCGACTCCGGTTCTTCAGATGACACGGCTCTCTGCTGCCAGCTCTCCCTCACCACTGCAGGCTCCTTCAGATACTATTTCACTCTGCAGGGAAGGTAAGAGCTGCTGTCACTCTGGTAGGAAAGTGAGAATTGCTGATACCGGTACTCTGCAAGAAGACGTGAGATGCTGAGTAGATTCCCTCAATCAATGACTTTGGTGTTTGTTGAATACAATTTAGTTTTATTTCATTTCGTATGGAATTGTAAAGGCATCTCATTTCCTTTATTGACAACAATTAGCATTCATATCAACATGAAGTCTTACAAATTAAGATGTCAATTGAGAAGTGTATCTTGAACTGTCATTGTAAATAGATAGGCACAACTCGGTGTTTAGAATGTTTTGGAATTATTGCCCAATAAACCTAGATTCATACCTCTCAATCATTGGGCAATTCGAACTATTTAATATCATATTTTTTGGACAGAATATTCTATTATGCTAAATAGATCATTTATTTGATTATTTTTGCTCGCTTTAGAGTTGAGCATCACAAAGAAAGTTTCATCAGGTTTCCAGAGATCACTAACATAGATGCCTAAGAAGCTGCTCTAAGTAATTTCTTATTTTCTGATAGTATAATTTGATATTATTTACTTAGCAGCTCTGAGAATGGTGGATCTGGATACCTCTTGGTGGACCCAACACTCACCGTGGGACCAGAAAAAACCCCTCTGCCTCTAGACTGCGTGCAGTGCCAGACTGTCCTGTCCAAGAACCTTGGGCCCTTCAACCAATGGCAGGACAGGCTCAGGGTGGCCAAAGAAACTGGCTACAACATGATTCATTTCACCCCAATCCAGGTAAGTCTGGCATTGTCACGAAGTACTATTTCGTACCGTTAATTTCAGTCAAGTAGCATCTACTTGACTATTTTTGGCAGGTTTTTCATCTTTCTACTTCTGCTGAACTTCTTTATTCATTTATAGTGAACTTAATGGTGATCTGAACGCAGCTTTAAAGTATAAAAATTTCTTTTTAAGGTATGAATAATTGAATTTGTGCTGCAGGCGTTGGGAGGCTCGAACTCTGCATACAGTTTGGCAGACCAGCATGCGGTGAACGTGACTTTCCACAGCAACAATCGCCGCTGCTCCCTGACTGACATAGAGAGCCTCATTCAGGAGGTCAACAACAAGTGGGGGGTGCGTCATGTCAATATGCTTATTTGTTCATTAATATCTGTCAATTTATTATTCATATAGTTGTTTCTTATTTGTATGTTTGTCTGTCCCAGTTCTCTTGAAAAATGATTTAAGTAGATTGATTTATTGGTAATATCTGCGAGTTTGACTTTTTACACTTGAAACTCCTCTTTTGTTTGCTTAATATTAGATAAAGATTTGCCATTATGATCGTTAAAAGGCGTTGATTTGCGTTGGATCTTTTTCCTGTTTAGGTGCTGTCACTAACGGACATTGTTCTCAACCATACGGCCAATGAGTCGCCGTGGCTTTCGGAGCATCCTGACGCGACTTACAACGTCGTTAACTCCCCTCACTTGCGTCCAGCTTACCTCGTGGACCGCGCCCTCTACTACTGCAGCTGCGACATCGCCAGCGGTAAACTCGCACAGTGGAATATGCCTCCCAACATTTCCACAGAGGAGCACGTTGCCAGCCTCTCTGACCACATCTTTAACTTGGTGCTGCTACCACTGCATCTCGAGGAGTTCTTTGTGCTGGACGTGGAAGCAACTGTTTCGCATTTCAAGCAGTTGGCGACTAGAGAAACGCCCGTGCAGGTTGCAGGGAAAGGAAAGCTGGAAATCGTACAAGACCCTCAATACCGGCGGAAGAAGAACTCGGTGGATTTTGCGCTCGCTTTGAGTATCTTCAATGTTGTGCATGAGGATTGCTCTGAGGAGGACCGCATGGAACGGTGTTGTAGTGCCTTGCGCGCTGCCCTGGAAGAACTGAATTCCCTCGCCACCGCTGAAGTGACTCGTCACCTGCATGCTGCAGTATCTGGTACAATCGGCACTGTTCGTTACGAGAGACTCCAGTCGGATGGTCCAAAAATTCCAGCCGTTACAGCCAAGCACCCTCTAGTGCCGCCGTACTTCACCCACAGCGGTCCTGATGCCGATATCGCGGCAGACGAGCTGCTCATGGACTCGCCAAAAGGTAACTTCCTGATGGCTCACAACGGGTGGGTGATGAACCACAACCCTCTCAAGAACTTTGCTGACCCGGGTTCTCTGGTGTACTTACGTCGTGAGCTGGTTGCGTGGGGAGATAGCGTGAAGCTGAGGTACGGGTCCCAGCCCTCTGATAGCCCTTTCCTGTGGGACCACATGCGTCGGTATTGTGAATACACTGCGCGTATCTTCGCTGGAATCCGCCTGGATAACTGCCACAGCACGCCCATCCACGTCGCGGAGTATTTATTGGATGCTGCTCGTGCTGTCCGGCCCGAACTTTACGTCATCGCCGAACTCTTCACGAACTCTGACGATACCGACAATATCTTTGTTAACAGACTGGGCATCAATTCTCTCATCCGGGAGGCCATGTCAGCTCCCAACTCTCATGAGGAAGGACGTCTGGTGTATCGTTACGGCGGTGAACCTGTGGGAGCATTTTTGCTTCCATCGGTGCGTCCTTTGGTTCCATCTATTGCTCATGCCATTTTCCTGGACTTGACCCACGATAACAAATCACCTGTTGAAGTACGCACGGCTTTCGACATGCTGCCTTCGAGCGCCCTCGTGTCAATGGCGTGCTGTGCGAGCGGTAGTAATCGTGGTTACGATGAGCTCGTGCCTCACCACATTCATGTGGTGAACGAACGCAGGCTCTACTACAGCTGGAGCAACAGTGTCCAGCCCTCCGCGGGCACTGTGAATGCTGGCACCGGTATAATTGCGGCCAAACGCGTACTCAATGATCTGCATTTGAGCCTCGGTCGCGATGGCTTCTCTCAAGTCTTCGTAGACCAAGTTACGTCTGACGTCGTGACCGTGACACGTCATAATCCCGTCACCCACGAGTCTGTCGTGCTCGTCGCTTACACGTCCTTTGCCCCGCCTGCTGTGATTGGTAGCCCTTACGTGCGGTCTCTGAAGGTCCAGGGAGCACTGAAAGAGATCATCTTCGAGATGGAACAACGGGCGCTGAACGAAGGCGACGACCAGAAAGCGTGTCCGGGATCGTTTTCTAAAGACCCTACCTTCATCAATGGTCTTAAAGGCATCGTTGTGAGCGTAAGGGAGAAACCTAGCCTCTCTAAAGCCCGTTTAGTGAGACAAGCCTCCCAAAACGACCCTGACACCTTGGAGTTCCAGTACACTGAGCACTTCAAGCCGGGCTGCGTGGTCGCCTTCCGCTTCTCGCTACTTCCCAAAGCACAAGCTGCAATCACGAGCGTCCGTTCGACGCTCGCCAAGTTCGTCCACCTGCCTCGCCAGCTCACCGTCACTGTCGAGGACCCAGTTCTCTGTGCAGCCCTGGCGTCGCTTGACCTCGTCGCTCTCAACCACTGTCTCTACCGCTGCCAGCAAGAGGAGGAAAGCTTGGGCGCAGGGGACGGGGTGTACGATGTGCCGGGCTGGCGCGCCATGGTTTACGCTGGTCTCCAAGGTACAAACACTTTGTTGTGAAGTTTTAGTCCGAATGAAATTGCTTAAAATTTTTAATATTAGGATTAATAGGTACCAAATCCAAATGTTTATACATCCTTTCCGGTTGGTGAGTTGAAAGTATACATTCTTCCATAAAGCATGCCATATAATATTATTATGCAGATCTTTTCATTCTAATGTAGCAGCAGAAAACAATAGAATTACCAATTAATTCAATGTCATTGCAGAAGGGTAATGTAAACACATCTTAACCTATTGTATACATTTTGCAGGCTACTGAATAAATATGTATACAATAGGCTACTTATTTATTCAGGCTACTGAATAAATAATATTTGATTTAATATTTGTTCACAATAATGCACAGGTCTTGAGTCTGTGCTGCTCGACATCCGCGTTAAGAACGACCTGGGCCACCCGCTGTGTGGTAACCTCAGGAGCGGCGACTGGCTCATGGACTACACCGTGCGCCGGCTGCAGCAGCAGCCTGATACTCAGCTGCTCGCGGCATGGCTACGGGTATTGTACAAGCTCTTTATATCATAGATAATTCAACAAATATTGCCACCAGAATATATATTTTTATTTCATTTTTTGATCTAATTCAGTTTCTGCAGTGATCACTTACTTGTTGTCAAACATCCCTTAACACTTATTACTTCCTAAGTGAAGGAGCACATATGGGGTTGTTACCCTTACAACATAATGAATAGTATTATATTTAAATGGTATTGCTCTCTGCAGGAGGTGTTCGCCGAGGTTCGGCATGTGCCACGTTACCTGGTGCCTGCTTACTTCGATGCCGTCATCAACAAGCTCTACCTGGCACTCATCAACCGGGCGTGGCAACTCATGTCACCGTATGTACCTACATCACTGCCTTTGGTCATGTTTCTGCTGTATGGAAATTTAATATTTTCCCGCCCTGCGTCTATAGGGATTTTTTTTTTTTTTGTAATGCAATAAGTATATACCTATGTAGTTGCTAAGAGGCTAATATTAGTGACGTGCTTCCTTGATGGATTTAGGAGTTCCAAGTGACTAGCGTAAAAAAGCATGAACTGTAATCTTCTTTGGGTGTTATCTGGTATTCAGTATTTATGCCGTCTAACCTGTGTCGCTTAGCTGCGAAGCTTAATATTTTGTAATACCACTTTATAGTTTGTAACAATATTAAATCAACCTATATTTTTTCGCTCTTCTGTGTTATAAATAAGTTCAAAATTATAATTTTCATGTTTGTAGATTCGTGAGCGGCGGCTCGGTGTTCGCTCGTTTATTGGGGCTGTGCAGCGTACAGTTCTGTTCTGTAATACAGTCAGCACAGCTGCCTCCTCTCTCACCTGCTCTGGCACCTCCTCAGCCTGCCATCTTACCATGGGGAGGTCAACGCGCCTCGTCCATTGCTGCAGGTTCGCTATTTTATCTGATGACGATAACTTTCTATTGTAATTTGTTTAGGTTACATTAGTGTTCTCGCACATGTAACACACATACCGCCTCGACATAAAGTCATAAATATATGATGGAATGACATGGCTGCTGTGTTTCCTGCAGGCCTGCCTCACTTCTGCGTGGGTTACATGCGTAACTGGGGTCGAGACACGTTCATTGCCCTACCCGGCAACCTGCTCATCACCGGCCGCTTTGACGAAGCACGGTTCGTGGCTTCCAATATTTATAGGACAACCAAGGTTTTTTTCAGTACCTACTTATTGCCATCCTCATTCTTGGAGTTATTCCGTATTTATTATAAGTTTCCCAGTATTATTTAGTCTTGCGAGGTGCTTGCTGATTTTTTGTTGAGTTATTGACGTGTATGGTTGCACGCAGTTGGGTGATCTTGGCATTTGCGGGAACTCTGCGTCACGGCCTCATCCCCAACCTGCTGGACGGCGGACCCAAGGCTCGCTACAACTGCAGGGACGCCGCCTGGTTTTGGCTCATGGCCATCCAGAGGTAGGCACAGACTAACAGGCCTGGGCTGTGCTATCAAAACTCGCTTGGGTGCACGTAGCGACCGATTTCGTGCCTGTGATAGTTAGTGTCAACAAACGGAAAAGCTGTGATTTGCTGACTCATTATTTTCGATTGTACGGCATCTGATCTTGAATTTTTGTTTGTTTTCATTAGTTCGCCACTGCTGCGTGTTGAAGATTTTTCTGGTGAATCAAAGTTATAAAAGGCAAAGACTGCGTTTTGAGCATCGCATGACAATGAAAGCCCGTTTCTCCTTCACTTTGTTCTTGGTTGGGTTGTATAGCGTCCCTTTGTTCTTGAAACATATTAGTCGAGTTTTTACCTACATTGTGATAAGATTGGAATGGAGTAAAGTCTTGATGCATCTCCCTAACATTGGAAATGCGGACAAAAGTAGCCCGATCCCTATTATAGGCTGTCGATTAATGGTTTCATAAGCATAACCATTGAAAGCAAAAATTCCGCGTGACGTTTATTTATGTAGTTCATCTTCTTGCGTGGATTACTGGATGTTTGTTCGATCCAGTTAATTGTGATCAACTTTCATCCGAAGCTCTTTCATGGTCATCACTTGTTGGCAGGTACGTGGAGATGGTCCCAGAAGGACACCGCATCCTGCAAGACAAAGTCTCGCGGATCTTCCCACGGGACGACAGCGACGCTCACTCGCCCGGCCGTGTGGTCAGTGACTGTGGCTACAAGCAAACCATTCAATATCTGTCGCCAGTCAGATCGCTATCTCACTCGTGATTTCAAGCAATTTTTTTCCTTTATTATGTTTTGTACGGATTGTTAGACATTTTCAAGGTTCTCTGTCTTATTTTATTTATTTTTTTTGTGTGTGGTTCTGTAAACAATTGATGACTTATGACTAAGTCGAAATCAGTACTATTCAAGCTTTTCATTGATAGTCAGAAACAATATTGTGAAAGCGTGTTATCGTCTGCCACTAATTGGTAAAGAGAAAACGGTGAGTGAATTTTAGTTGCATTTACAGGATCAAACACTGGAGTTCGTCATCCAAGAGTGCATGACACGCCACTTCCAGGGCGTGCAGTTCAGGGAGCGCAACGCTGGACGTTCCATAGACGAGCAAATGACGGACCAAGGCTTTAACAACTCCGTCGGTGTTGATCTTGAAACCGGTGTGTTCCCCAAGACTCTAATAAATACTACCTATCAATGCCTCAAAAAATTACAAGAAATACTCACAGGCAATTTTAAAATCCTATAAAGGCTTGCTGCTACTGGGTATTCTTGATATAACAAATTTTTATGTGAACACTCTTAATGAACGATGAAATGTTCTGCATTGGAAGGTTTTAGCTTGGTGGCTTCAATCGTTCCGTGGTTACGAACTTAGTTTTCACGTTAATAATTCTGAATCCTCCAGGCCACCGATCGACTGCAACTAAGCATTCAACATATCAACTTAGGTGCTGGTAATATATCTTCGGCGATTCGTTTCCTTGCAAGGACTGTCATTAGGAAGTGTATTTATTCATTTATCTTCAAGTTTCTTACGCAATACTAATAACTGTGCAGGGTTCCCGTTCGGAGGAAACCGTCACAACTGCGGCACTTGGATGGACAAGATGGGCAGCAGCGAGAAGGCTGGCAACAAGGGCCGTCCTGCGACGCCGCGCGATGGCAGTGCAGTCGAGATCGTCGGGCTCTGTAAAGCCGCCGTGTCATTCTTGGCTGCCTTGTACCGCGCCAAGCACTTCGCCTACCAGGGCGTTACCAGGATTGATGACAAGGGTAAATCACTTTACAAACACGAATCGTAGAAATGGAACTCTTTCCACCTATTTCATGAATATTGGATATAGTTGAATAACTTTATTGAGTTATCCTATTTAGATAACTATTGTTTGGCCTTTTTCTCTGTAAGCGTCATGACTCGAGATTTTGCTGGAGCCCAGCTCTAATGGAATTCGCCTGGGCTCTACTAACTCCCTTCATGAAACTAGGGTGTAACATTCATCATACGAGGGAAGGTGTTTCATCTTGGATGAATTATGTTGCAACTCAAATACTTGAACTAGAAATCATATTTGGAAATTGTAATTACAGGTAATGAGATTAACTGGACATACAGTTTCTGGGCGCAGCAGCTGTCAGCTAACTTCACCCGCCACTTCCATGTGCCTAAATCGCCTACTTCTGTAGACAAGCGGCCGGACCTCATTAACAGGCAAGTCATGAACAGTATTTAATCGCATTTTTAATCTCATAGTCACATTTGAAGTCGCCGTGGAAAATGCTTTCCAAAGATTTAAGTATATACGCAATCAACTGTCTTACAAATTTTTTCTTTTACATCGTATGATTCTATGATAATTATAGTTTATGTATGATTTCCAGACGAGGTATTTACAAGGATAGCGTGGGTGCCACCGACTCCTGGCCAGATTACCAGCTGCGCTGCAACTTCCCTATCGCTCTCGCTGTGGTCAGTTAATATTATTGTTCTTGCGTGACTTGCATCTTATTTTATTGCATTTGCTTTTTTATATTCAGTTAGCATCACGATATCAATGCAACTTGTGTACTTTTATTTCCGGGGTGAAATATAATTTTAGTCATTCATACGTGGCATGGGCTTAACGCCTCGGTTCAGTAGTAAGTTTTAGCGAGCAGAAAGTTTATTTATTGCAAGAATGACCTATCATGTGCAATAATCGATGAGACTACGTTCAGTACGAATTATTAAATCTGAGAGAGCTGTATTTGCTCCACACATTTACTGCCTCATGAAGTAGTTCACTGAAACTCGGTGTACATCTGAATTTTAAAACGTGCATCGTGAATAAAATTTGAGGACGAAACGAGCTCTTCTAGTAAAATTTGAGGCGGTTTACAACTTTGTTCTTCCTCGCTAGGCTCCCGAGCTTGTGGACCCGAAAGAAGGATTAGAAGCATTAGCGCTGGCTGAGGAGCTGCTGCTGGGTCCCCTGGGCATCAAGACCCTGGACCCGTCCGACTGGGCCTACCGCGCCAACTACGACAACGGCAACGACTCCAACGATGCCAGCGTCGCTCGTGGTTTCAACTACCATCAGGGGCCGGTGAGACTGACATTTGCTCTTGAGATTATGAAAGGATTTATTTATAAACTTTCACCGACATTATTCGAAAATCACCAAAGTTGTACTTGAGAAGTTATCTATCGACAAAAATTTTAATAAATTTCATGCAAGAAAAAAGTAATAAATAATATTTTGAAAAAGTTTATTCTTCCATGCGCCGCGTTATTTTATGAAGATTATCATGATAATTTTAGCTGCGGTTTGTGACTAGATTAGTAGTAATGTCATTATTAGCACCAGCATAGTTGGAAACGGCACTCGAATTCGAATTCGGTTGAAAAATGTGCTGTGGCAATTAAAGAGACAAAGATCTGGAACAGTTTAACTTGACTTGCCGAGCAAACGCAATCCTTTGTGAATTCATTATGATTCATTTTATAAATTGTGGGAAAGTTTATTGAGATGTTACCCGGCACGAATGGTTGCGTATCAAAATCTAGTACGCTTATGCTTACGCAATTTACGGTTGTAAATTGAACTCTTGTACCTTTCAAGAATGGTTGTACATTAAACTCTATTACGCGGCAGGAATGGTTGTAAATTAAACTCTATTACGCGGCAGGAAAGGTTGTAAATTGAACTCTTGTACCTTTCAAGAATGGTTGTACATTAAACTCTTTTACCCGGCAGGAATGGTTGTATATTAAACTATTACCCGGCAGGAATGGTTGTGGCCTGTGGGCTTCTTGCTGCGTGCCCAGCTCGCCTTGTCCCAGCGTCTCGGTGACCCAGAGCACCTGTGCCAGACGGTGTCCCGTATCAAGTCTAGCCTGTCTCAGCACTTCACTCATCTCGTCACCAACGAGTGGCGCTCCTTGCCTGAACTCACCAACGCTGCCGGCGCTCTTTGCCCGGACTCAAACCCTGCGCAGAGCTGGAGCACCGGCTGCGTGCTAGAGGTTTGTCCCGCCTCGTGGAGAATTAGTGTGTTAAGGAGTGACCTCGCATGGAAAAATGAACGTGATTCTAATATAATATTACCTAGTTGATGCAACTTGAGCTATTAATTATAGTGATCGGTGACCTAAATATGTTAATTTCATCATATCGAGGTATATTATGAGGTAGAATGGAAACCGTTTACAGGAAGTATAAATTTAGAGAATTTTTATGCCCACATATTACCGAATGAGTGACATGGTAAATAATTAGGCTCACCTTATGTGTATGCTACTTAATACCAAGGCTATCTATCATATCAAGAGTGTATGCTCTCAGGAAACTCGATTGCTGTGTTTATTCAGAATTCAATTGATTCTCATTTTGGTGTTTCAGGTGTTGTGGGAACTTGAGCGCCTGCAGTGTTGAGTGAACCATCTCGCCACAGCTACTCTCACCTCAGTAGTTTGATTCCTGCCATCTCCATGACACGAGAAAGAAGAGCGCTGAAATAGTTATCTGTGCTTTTGTTTTTAACTGCTAGTGGGTGTTGCATCATCTGCCGTGCGCGGCAGGAATAGCGTGTCTATAGATACAGTAATTATATTCGTTAATTCGGTAGCTGTTTTGATTTTGTTCGTTCTAATGAATTAGCTGAGTTTTGAGTTCGTGAGTTACTTAATCGTGTTCATGGAATCTTTTCTCTAGTCAAAAGAAAATATTTGTGTAGTTTTTTTGTTCGCGTAATTTATTCATCCAAACGTTGATATAATTGACGAGACGTGAAAAACAAATAGTTAGCTGCAGTTGCACAGGTGATGGCTATACTTCACGCAGTTTTGTGTAGCAATTGCCCAGATATTGACTCATCCAGCGATGCAATATCAAGCGTTATCAAAATACGTTTAGTTCTGACAGCTTCCCTATCGAATGTTTTTCATTATAATTTCCGGAATTTGTAACTCTGGTGACATACCTCGTGATCCCTAGTAGGTTATTACCGAGTCTACCGACATTAATACTTGCTTTGCTCATTATATTGCTCTTAATCAAAATTGAGCATGAGAAGGGAGCGTATGTTTCGCGACACAATCACGCACTGAAGCTGCCATTGGTCAACAACTAATTCATGATATACCTTTGCCTTCAGATATCAACAATACTCGGTTATACTAGCATCCTATTTATACTCATGAGTGCTTTACAAATAACTTTGCTACTCCCCACATTAATTAGTCGTTCCTCGGACTGCTATGTTGGCTTCTCTTGATCTTCGTTGGTCCTAAGGAAAAGACTTTTTGTGACATGTTAGGTAGAGCTTGACCTTTGTTAACTAAAATACCGTAATTAGATGTAAATAATTAAATTGTGAAATATCTTACAAGTTGCTGTTAAAAAGATCATTTTATTTCAGCCATGCGCTTAGAATTAATGGGTCAGGTAACCATTGTTGATTACTCGTGCCGATTACCCAAGGCTAGCTTGCTCCTTTACTCTGAATGCTTCGTTGCGTTACGAAAATAAAGTTCCCACGTTAATCGAACGTATTGTTATAAATATCAAAGGAATATATAGATATAACGATATTTCATTTACATTATTATGCGTTTTGAATACATTCGCTTGAACAATACCTGCATTCAACTAGATGCATAAAACATTACTGCATTGCACATTTCTAAGCACCGACCGCAACATAGTGTTCTTTATGTACACGATGTGAAACTGGTCTCAGTTGTGAGTTCACCGCCTCGTGCGTACATTTGGTTTAAACAAAGCGACAGCTTGTATATTTTCGCTTATGTACTCCATTAAGACTTCTCTTCAACCTACTCCAATGCAATCTTCATATATACTGAATATCCGTGCACGTTCTTCTGACTGACTCATTTTAAAAGCAACTGTTGTCACGACCAGCCACTTGGTCACGTTAATGGACACGGAGGATTTGTACTCTTAACAGAGAACATAATGGGTAATATCCTCCAAATAGTGACACTGTTTAGACACTTTTTGGCTGACCAAGTCGACCTCTGGAGAGGTCTGTCCTACGGAGCTTGGTTGGTCTTTTCACATTTTATAAGGGATGATAAGGCTATTATATATGAAACAATGCTTCATATCTACGCTCTAGAGTTGGCTCTCTCATAGATTTTTCTCAGTGGGCAGTTTCCTTAGCTCCACCTCCACCACCGTCTTCATCGAGTCAAACGCCGTATCTTTTATTCCTAAGCTCCCCAATGACCAGTTATTATAGTTAATATACAGATTTTATTTACCAGACAGCGATGCTACGTATTAAATTGGTTGCAATATTACACTATTTTTTCATTTGTTATCTGTACCTATATCATAATTCTATATCTTGCGTTTGAATTTAATAGGCCCACTTTTTCATCAATATCTAAACAAGCTGCAATCGTGTAAAACTTAGCTTTCTCTATTTTTCTTGGCCTTGTAACCCCTTAATTTTGTAGACACGTGTACCCAGGCAGGACCCTCGCCCTACAGAGGCGTAGGGGCGTTTCGCTCACGCCCCTGCTGCTGGAGAGGACGCTGGTCTTTCAGGGGATAATGCGTGTCACGTTTGTGGTTCAAGGTCAACCTTCAGCTGCTTTAGGTTTATTATCTGGAACAAGAGTTTAAATGTACGAGTTATTCACCTGAACTGAATGTATTTTTAATTAATGATATATTTTTCTTCTCCTAGCATGCGCATACTTGCTAATCAAAACTATTTTACGATCATGTAGAGAGAGATGAATATATAGACTCGTTTTTTGATAAGAAAGCAATCATTATCTTTATTCATACTAATATTACGTTTATGTTGAGTCTTCTTTCTCATATATGAAGGAGAAATTATTTGATATAGTTTATATTAGCAGAAACTTTACGTAATGGTAAGAAATCCGAGCAGCCTTGTATGTAAACGCGTCGGGTTCAGCAACATCGTCACATTGCGACTTTTAGCTCTATTCATGCAATAACGAATAAAAATGTGAATAAAAAGCAACTCTATTTGCATAGCGATTTGTGACGGTTTGTTTGAAACTATGAATTCGCTCGTATAAGTTGATGTAAAACATTGCGTATGTAATAGTGCCTGCTGGACGAATAAACTGATTGCGCTTATCCAGCGAGTTTAAATCTGCCCTATAATGTATTTACACGACATCTTTAATAGCGAGCCAGCCTTACTTGATGAATTAACATAGAAGATTTTTCGTTAGGACGCAAAACAACCGCCTATTCATTCAAACAATTTTAATAAGTTGTTTTCGGCAAAAACGCCCATCCTGTGTTGAGATTTGAAAAATAATCCCAATAATTATAAGCAGAAGTTTGAAGTCATAAATATTCAATTCATAAATTATCTGTTGTGAGGGATCGATTGATAGATCAGCTGACTGCTAATAATCTCCTATCAGACAGTCAACATGGCTTTATTGCCGGGAGATCCTGCACCACTAACCTCTTGTCGACTCTGAACGAATGGACCCGCCTGCTGGACGAAAGGGAGCCAGTAGATGCAGTGTACCTCGATTTTGCCAAGGCATTTGACAGTGTCCCACATGAGCGGTTCCCTTGTGAATCAAGTCACGAAAAGTTCAAGAATCGGCAACAGGCCATGGGCCTATTTCTTCAGCGCCGACACTTCTATTCTATTCTATCACTGGATCGAAAACCACATGCTATTGATCCAGTAATGAAGCTGGAATTAAGGAATGAGCTATGTCACAGGTAGTGAGTGGCACCGCCGCATGTAACTGCCTTTTAGTCGCAGACCTCGATAGAAATCTGACCGTTAACTTACGGAATAGCTAAGCCTTTTTTCCCACTCCCATTTCACATACACGAACCCAATCTTGGACCTGCCCAACACTTATTCTTGGTTCACACTATACTGCTGGGCATGTGCCAGTCACGGTCTAGTCCAACATTCTATAATGCATTTGTATAGTAAAATTCACACCAGCCGTGCAAGGCACCTGCTATGCCAGGCACGCTCTAGCCACGATCATGGCACAAGATATTTTGACCGGGACGTGACTGCAGCGTTGCCAATTATTTCTTTGCTGAGTATACCAGACTGCATCTCAACACATATACCAGATTGTAGCAAATACCTATCAAACATATTGAGGGGAGACCACGCTAGGGGAGGGAGACCACGCTATGGGAGGAGGGAGACCACGCTATGGGAGGAGGGAGACCACGCTATGGGAGGAGGGAGACCACGCTATGGGAGGAGGGAGACCACGCTATGGGAGGAGGGAGACCACGCTATGGGAGGAGGGAGACCACGCTATGGGAGGAGGGAGACCACGCTATGGGAGGAGGGAGACCACGCTATGGGAGGAGGGAGACCACGCTATGGGAGGAGGGAGACCACGCTATGGGAGGAGGGAGACCACGCTATGGGAGGAGGGAGACCACGCTATGGGAGGAGGGAGACCACGCTATGGGAGGAGGGAGACCACGCTATGGGAGGAGGGAGACCACGCTATGGGAGGAGGGAGACCACGCTATGGGAGGAGGGAGACCACGCTATGGGAGGAGGGAGACCACGCTATGGGAGGAGGGAGACCACGCTATGGGAGGAGGGAGACCACGCTATGGGAGGAGGGAGACCACGCTATGGGAGGAGGGAGACCACGCTATGGGAGGAGGGAGACCACGCTATGGGAGGAGGGAGACCACGCTATGGGAGGAGNGAGACCACGCTAGGGGAGGGAGACCACGCTAGGGGAGGGAGACCACGCTAGGGGAGGAAGACCACGCTAGGGGAGGGAGACCACGCTAGGGGAGGGAGACCACGCTAGGGGAGGGAGACCACGCTAGGGGAGGAAGACCACGCTAGGGGAGGGAGACCACGCTAGGGGAGGGAGACCACGCTAGGGGCGGGGACCACGCTACATTCACGTCTAATGAAGCCAACCACACCAGACGCCAACTTCGGCTAAGGCCGAGGCAAGCCAGAAAACAGTCTTGATGGCTAGTCAGATCAGGCTAATTTTGAGAACGTAAGATGCTGCAACGTCGGTTTTGGGTAGATCTGGTAATGAGGCTAGTTCGCATAACTCCAAGAGACCAATAAAGAGCATATATGAATCGGCGATAGGCCAACTCGGCATTAATTCAACGCCGATGTTGCTATGCTATGACCAGCAGAACTAACGATTTAGCCGTCTGCTCGAACTAACATTGACGCAAGGTATGGTTAATGTACAGAACAGATAGTTTCGGTCAGTTACTTTCAACAGTATGCCATTACGTATTAAGATCACTTGATTGTTTAAATCGCAAGTTTATCAATAATTTAAAGCAAAGATAATGGCCAGAAAATTCGCCATTTCTGATGAAGTCTAAAGTTTTGGAATCCAGCTCCGTCGCAGTTCAAAATCTATCACAAAAGTACAATCGATTATTAAACTAAATTTACATTGAAGCATAAATCGTCAAATGAAAACAAATATGAATGAAGTAAATATGAGCAGACACATCTATTTACAATTTCGAGGGGATATGAACTTTAGGCGGCATTTAAACTAGGCTTGTGTTTAAAAATATACAGGGACTCCAAAATTCGCAGGTCAGAAACACCGGTTGTGGAGGCTAAAATTCTAAAATCACTATCGGACACCGGGATGTTGCACTGCTAGACATGAACGCGTACTACTGAATGACGGGGATGCGTAAGCAAGTTTCCTGTTGTAAAATGTCAATTTATTTTTCTAATTGTTTGCACATCTCTTTTATATTTTGAACTGAAGATGAATCTAGACTGCGAAACGTTTTCCTTCAAAAGAAATGGTGAACTTTCTGGCTATTTTCTTTGCTTTTAAATTGTAAGTATATCATTACGATGCTTCTTCTTACCAGCAGCACCAAAACCACCAGCAGGACCTGCCCACCACACATTTCAAAGGTTGGGTCATCACTGTGGTTTTCTAGTTTCTACTTTCTAAGTCTACCAGCTGTCCATCAGTAGTGCTGCCAACTTTTTTCTCGGCGAGTATACCAGATTTCATCGCTCAATATACTAGATATATACCGAATTTTTTTCTTGTCTAAAACAGATTAATACCCTCAAATGTAATGTAACTACCTATTCATTAGAAATGTTGTTTAGTACAAGAAAAATCATTTATATCCATTTTACTGTGTTAGGCTTGACATAGAATTAACGAAATTGAACATGGGACATTAATTTTTCCTTTTTTAGCACAGGGTAATAAGCGGAAACTTCCTGTTCTATATTTGATATTTCGCGCCAAACAGCCAGATGTTGTAGGAAAACGGGGTGGAGCTTTTCATATGAAAGGCACGGTCATGAAATTTTGTATCTCGCCTAGTCAGTTGCCATTATGCATTGGATAAGTGAAAAGTATGCGTTTGTTGCCGAGGCGTACGCTTTTAATGGTCATTCCAATTTTGCTACTCAAGGAGTATTTCGTACTCGGTTCCGTATTCGTCCTTCAGGTCGGGTTCCTGATTAGAAATACGGGCTGATCCCCCGATTTGACACCATGCGATTTTTACAGAGTTATCTTAAAACAATTGTTTACTATGACTGCCCAAGGACTCATTTGAAGAATAACATACGCCAAGCCATCGAGTTGAACGTAACTTTGAAGCAAGTTGAAAGGAACTTCAAATATCGACCAACTGAATTTATTGGCAATGGGGGCCGTCATTTTTCCGATGTCATCTTTAAAACAAAGTTGTAAAAAATTTTAGATAATGTATTTTTCAATAAAACTGTTATTGTAATGATATCTCTACTACTTTCAGCTATTGAGCTTTCAAATCAGGAAGTTTCCGTGAATAACCCAATCAAATTTCGACATTTTCTCCATAGAACATAGCCAACTGCTTTGCCTGGGGAAAGTTGTAACATCAGAGGCAAAACTTATTGCATTTAATTTGCATAATTAAAAGGGCATTTTACTTCTACGTTTCAACTATTTCATCATCAATTCCTACAAGCTTTTTTGACTGATACCATTGACTGGCAAATTTACAAGTGTCATCATTATCAAGATTTTTTGACCATTACAATCATATTATAGTATAATTTATTTGCAAATTTAAATTAGCTCATTCATCTAAGTTCATTTTAATATATATTTTGCATAGTTTACTAGCACAATGTCCTAAATGGCTTACTTGCATATTTTTCTGCTGTGCATCTCAAAGCTTAATTATTAATGTATTATACTTTGTAATTTGCGAAATAAGCTACTATATGCTATAAAAACGGTAGTTGCTAAAATTAACACTCATTTATTAATTATTGCAAACGTTTTTGATGATGGGTCTTAGTTTGATCCAATTCAGAAAGTAAAAAATCATGCCCATAGATTTAGATTTAAAATTGACCCAAAGTTTCCTTGGTTGGACTGTAGATAAAGGCTCAGTTCGGCAATAGTTTGGAGGGTTAATTTCACCCCCAAAACGGAATTATTTAACAAAATTTCTCATGCGAGAACTAAAATCACGATATTGTGCCCAAGGAAAAGTGAAATTGAACAAATATGTTGTTTTATTTCAGTCAAACTTCCCAAGTGTCCTAACATACCAGAAATATACCAGCTTTTAGCAAACGTACCAGATTTGTGAAATCTGGTATGAAAATTTACCATTTGGCAATACTGAAGTCTCGCACCCAGGAAGTTCAGTGGTTGCCATAATATTTCTGATCAAAACTTAAAACTTTTAGGCTCATTATCGCATATTCGAATACCGCACTTTGATATGTACAATTTTCGTGGAAAAATCTCCTAATTAATTTCGATAGTGACACCTGCATGAATTTCCATTCATTAAAATTATATTCCTTTTCCAGATGTTTCCGGGCGGTGTTGCATGGTTTCAAAGAGTTTTCCATGGTCTGAAAAACAAATTCCACAAATCTGCCACTCCTACAAGAATATTCGTTTGAATATCAGGTAGAAAAAATTGAGAACACTACAGAAAAACTCTGAAATTCTTTCAAACGTGTTCGCAGAGCCTTTCGGCCTTATTGGGATATGAAAATGCTCCCCGCCATCCATTGAGCGTTGCTTTGTTTGCGGTCCTAAAATGTTTCACTTGTGTGCGAATTTCACGAATATGTTTACGATTCAGCTACGAGTTTCTTATTGGTCTACTGAGGACAAGAAAACACCTTTGATGTAATTCTCTCTCTAATTTGACTCTAATCAACTCGGGCGAACATTCATCATAACGATTATACGACACAATTATACGAGAATAAACCAACCAACGACTTACGATTTTCCTCCAAAATCGTCCTCTTAACCGCTTTACCGCCTCCAAAAACTTCATCTCACGCTCATAATTCAACTAAGATTTAAAATAATGATCCGTGAAAAATAGGGAACCAAAACACCAATATTTCACATTAAAACTGAAATCGAGTCAATTTTAGCCAATTGAGTTACAAACGCAAGGCTGATTAATGTAATAACGTATGTTCTGGTTCATAGAGGTTTTGAGCTCCGAAAGTCAAGATAATCGAGTCCGGAGTTAAGAAAGACTCGCCGAGATAGACACGGGTTTCAGTATTGCTACATTCAGTATACGTCAATTTATAATCTACGTAGAAGTAAACTATTTCGTTGAATAGGCAGCATGAATAACATCAATGATTATGACAGTATAAGGATTTCTTCGATAAACTTCGCTGCAGTACAGAACATGACACAAACCAACGATTTAATCCGCGGCGCCCTCTACACGGAAGTTCTCAAACCATAACTTTCTATAAAATGAATAAAATTACACTACGTTTAATCATGGAGGAGCTACAAGTTCCTGTACTTCACAATTAGGTTCATCGCCAACTAGTTCATACAAAATTAGATTTACTCTGACTAGAGACTTAAGACTAAACTGCGTTTCTAAAGAAGGCGCGATGTACTAACGACCTCATGGTGTGTTTGAACGAAAATGGCATTCACACTATCAAATGAGGCAGCACCACACAATATCTAGTAAAGGAGGTAATAAATCATCACCATCTGTGCGAAGACTCATAAAAAATGAACAAATATGGCATCAATATTGAATGCCAAACCGAGCACTTCCATAACACACTTCTACATGCAGCCATTGAACGGCCAAATTGGGTACAAGTAACTGAATTCTATACACAAATTTTAAAATGCCACTATAAAGGTTGTAATACTGTTCGATAATGAATAGAGAATAACGTGTGATACTGATAACAGTGAAGGCCGTATAAGTTAATCTGAACAATTTCCAAATAATAAACCTGAAATTGAATCTTGAGGCCAGGATATGAAATTAGACAGGCAAGAAAATCTTGACCGCGCCGCTCGTCTCCGTTGCATTAAACACACCAAATAATAAAATTTGTCACTTGAAACAATATCCGTGATAAGTGCTGGGAACAGACTGATGCATAAGGTGTAGTAACACGCAAATCGATGCCCATAAGAAAATTCGCGACCTCCATTACCCATCCAACTTTCTTGCTTATTAACAAGACAAAAAGCAATGATCATCGCCCCTCTCTTAACCGAGCCTAAATTCAGAATACAGATGTAGAGTTCTAAACATATTTTATATATGTACGAGACAAAGACAATCATTATGCTCATTAAACTCACTTTGACAACGTCTCGCTCATTTAACCAGTGCAATGACTCTAATTAGGCTATTTACTAACGATAAGGTGCTTAAACATCTTCGAGACGATAGACTAGACTGCACATAAGTGATATGTTGACATGAGAAACTAACTTTGTACACATACAAGGCCATTAGCTAAATGTCTAGTTCTCTAGTGCACAACCTCGTCTCAAGAACTGGGTTAACTATACTGTTAAGTTGATAAACGGAGGCAGCGGAAATTTCCGACTTAAAAGCCGAATGAAAAATAATAATTGGGGTAGCTGTACGATTCATAGTCGTACAAAATCAATAAAATATGAATTCCAATGCGACAAATGTACTAACTGTGGGCAGGGTGGCCCAGTGGTTAAAGTACAGAAAACCAGTTTTGGAGCAGATCGAGACGTGCGAGCTCGATCCCAGCTCTGTGCGCCAGTTTCTGGTCAGAATCGGCGAGGAGGCCGGGCGGTTAAGCACAGCAGAATTGAGGCAGTGAGTTGCGAGTTCGAGACCGCAACATGATGTGATTGTTCTGCAGTGTTAAGAGTCAGCGACAGGCCTACGGCCTAATAAACGCTGAAACCGCTATTATACATAAATGTATAAATGCATATTACGTGTTCAAAATTCAACCCTGGTGTCAGAAACCTAAAAATGAAGACCTCTGCGTATGCGTGGCCGATTATCTACTTTCCACTTGTTGATCAAAAAATCTACTTAACATTATAGGGCAAACATTCTCACATGGGGAGGGCATGATCAAGGAAAAGTAATATGAGTAATACAAGTCTTCCCACAGAGGGGGGGGGGAGAGGGTATCCTAACGCTATCCACATTATCCTATGTACGACATCAAACACTGATACAATGTCGACTTGGACAGCAATCATACTGAAACTGATTACTTGCTGTTTTTGTTTCAATCAAACATCCATGTGTTACATCGTCAATGTGCAAACGCACTCGGATAGTAGAGCAAAGCCCATTTTCAGAGAATAATTATAAGTTTCAAAATTTATTCACAATTAATTTCGTAGAATTACAGCCATTGGCATAAAAATAAGAGCAATCAAATCTCTATCACCAGACCACGCAAGTCAATAAGAGTAACGCATGTTTAAACAATTGTACAGAGGATAACATTAGTCACCAGCACTGCATAACACGATGGGATAACACAAGCCATGCATAACACGAAGGGTATAACACCAACACTAGATAACACGAACGGATAACGAATATAGGATCAAACTCTAACACAACGCAACTCACAACCACGAATATTAAAACCCTTATCCAGACGCGAGAAAATTCCCCTCTCATTCGATAAGAAATGAGTTACAAATAGTGTTCAATACCAACGCTATGCGGGAAAACTGCTCTAGTATATAAAATTATACAACTAATTCCATCTGACTATCTATTAGTCCAGTCTAAACCTACAGTGTAGTTCTATTTACAATCCAGGAAAATATAGCAGAGAAGTATAAAGCATCGTGAATTGTTTACGGCATCTATATCTACTATGAAGACTAAAAAATGATTGACGCATCTATACATGACGACTAGGTTGATTGTTTACCGTCCTGCGCTTAAAAAGCAACTATATGAGCTCAAAGTCGGTAAACGTGAAGACGATGTCAAGGCATCGCAACCAACTATCTCCTGTAATACAACCAAGTTCCTGCGACAATAATCAAATAAAGAATAAACGATAGACCAAGTTCTGAAGTGACTCATACTAATTTCATAATTGCGAGTAGATAATATTGATAATCCAAGGCCAAATTATATTTCATCAGAATATCATAATAAAGTAAATCGTGGAACAATAAAAAAGACAATTCCACTATTAAATGAATACGCGCCGAGTTGGTTGCTTCAGTTCAATTGACGGCAGGGCGACTAACGGTGCCAACAGTGTTGGGTTCCCACCGTCCGATCTCAGACCGTACCTATACCGTCATGGTGTACCGTCACGGTGTAACATTTTGTCTCTAGCAACATCAACCGCCGTCAAAGCTATTAGTACGTAAAGACCAAAATTAATGACCAGAGCTACCGTCAGTAGACTAAATTTAACTGAAAATTTGCAGCCAGATTTGGCATCCGCGACACGCTTTGAGGGATGACAATCTACTGATTATGGCAAAACGGACGAGCTATGTCAGCGATAAATGATATCTCGAGTAAATATTAAACCGATAATTGAACAATCATCACAAATATGGCGACACTAGCACAACTGGCGCACAATTCCCACATATCGATTGTGGCGAAGTGTCAGCTTAACCAGTTTTCCGTGCAACCAATTTTCAGCGCAATCTTAGGAGTCCATGATGTGCGTCTGGGCTTTAGTTAACACGCATGCCCAGGCGTGGAGAGCGTTAGTGTTGCATAGCTATCGCTCGTCTCAAGATTCATCTACCGACATTTGTGATGAAGTGAACGTCGTTCCTATTGGTTCCTTCTGAGTGGTGATAACTGCAACCGACGCACATCGAGTATTTAAGCTGTTGACACTGATCCTAACAGGGTGTTGTGTTGACTAGTGAATTTATTCATAGATATACAAACTATCGAAACTTATTTCATTAGAAAATAAAATTTTGAAAATCTGCCCATTGAAATGCAAACAATAATAAGTCAATCCGCCTGAGATCAAGCTGGTAATTTCTTGTTCTTATCCACAAGTGTGCAAACAAATCTAGTTTGAAGAAAGCCAATCCAATCAGTTCCTAAAATGGTCTAGGCCAAAATAACGTTAACGTAAAGCAAAGCAATTAGAATAATTTTGTGAGTGAACCTTATATACTTCATTACTTTATCAACAGCAAGCTCACAGCGCAAGCTAATTTTCACGCAATTCTCTGCCATTGGCGTTGTTTCCACTTCAAAGGACCCGCCTGCAAGTAAAGCCAACTTTCAAAATAGAATTCCAGTCGACTTCATGACAACCGGCCGACCTTTTAGCAACAGTCTTGTCGTACCACAGGAAATTTCTCCCACCTCATTTTCGTTGACTTTGCGAGGCCCTTAGTAAAGAAGGCGTCTAAATCTAAGAAAAATACATCACTAAAGTTCATCTAATTAACATTTTGTGTTCGACGCTTCTTAGCACATCACAGGAGGGTGTCTAAACTACTTTTCACCCGACATGATCTATGTACACAAGCCTATAAACTTCTGATTCCCCACACTTCTATCAAGTCCGGTAGAAATCAGTTAGCCCTTCAAATATAATTGCGTTAGTAAGGATCTTTTCTGATTGCATGAACTGTTATCTAATCGTTTTATCCAATTCAAAGGTAAAAAACAATAATTTTCTCAGAAATTTTGACGGAACTGTATCACCGAAATTGAAATTTCATTCAATAAAGATTGACTTTTAAATAAACTCCGCTCCTATTGAATACATTTGTTAGCTTCTTTGCGCGCGTAAAAAGTGGAAAAGAGATTTGACCATCACTAGTAGATTCACGAGAACGGAATTATGGAGATTATCGATTTTGAATATTTAAAATTCATGAATAAATTATGATCCAGCAACTACAATTTTCGAGGTTTTGCTGGAATTCTATAGCCTTTTAAGGAAGGGAATATCTACGCACGGTCTCTTACTCAACTACAGAGTACCTTCATAAACTTTTTTTAGAATCGCTGCGTTTCTGGGGGGTATCCTGAAAATATCTAATGACCAGAAATCCAATCACGGCAGAAATTTATAAATAAAACAGTTAGTTGTAGCCGCAACCTGAGAGCTGTTCATGAGAAAATGCATCAGAATTTTTATCGTTAGCTTTATCGGGAGATTTTCTAGCCGCTAATTTTGACTGCCGGGAAAAGTGGTGCTTCAGTTGACGATCGCCTCGGTGTCCCCAGAGGCCGGAGACGCGCCGTTCAGGAGCTCTGCGGCAGCGCCGTCTGCCGGCTCCCCAAGTCCGTTCTGCACGCAACAACCACGTTTCAGAAATGTGAATAATACAAATAATTATAAATATTACCATTAAGTTTAATTGCATTGTTTACCACGGTAAAGTTGAATGTGACGGTTGTAATTACCTGACGGTAACTTTTTTTATTAATGCGGTAGGATCTATCACGAGCTATACGTTCTGTTATGAAACTAAAATTAACATTGTTCGTTTGATCCAAGAAGATCTTATGACCAATATGATGATCGAAAAATCTGTAATCCTCTTAAAATTATGAAGGTGAGGCGATCAGCCATCAGCGATTGTCAGTAAAGACCCAGTAAGGAATGAGATGCCTTAAAAGCTTCAACACTTAGCAACAGAAAACATATTTGCGATATCGCAAGCATCTTCTTGCATCCAGCGGCTGAAGATCGGCCTGCGGGCCTAACACCTGGCGTCTCGGCTACTAAATCTTCCTGAGAGCTACTCATTAATATTCAAAACTGGCCAAGAACTTAGAGACACTGATTTGAAGTTGAGCAACTGCTACAACTTCCACTGGAACTTGCAAACCGAGTAATTAGCTGAGTTTGGGCCAGTCATCCTAGAGCGAGAACAAGGCTTGAAAGAGGAACGTTTAGGTGCTGGACTTGACAGCGGAAACGCGGACTTATTATAAGTCAGTAGACATATGTCATGGTGCATCATGAGGTAGAACCGTATGTGACCATAGAAATAACAAAAGAAGGTAAATTATGGCCATCATAGATATTAACAATAACCACGCAACTGGCAATCACCCTTGAACTAAAAATAATCTTTGAACTATTAATCGCTTTCGAACTAGCAATCATCATTAAACAAGAAAAACTAACAACCAATAAACCAAACCTAAAAATTTCCATGGAAATAAACACTGAGTAAAGGTAGAAATTTCGATCCCCATTGAATTTTCGGTCGCCTTATATCTTGCAATCATTTGTAATTAATCAACAAATAACTTGATCTCTGTAAAAAATCTCTTAATCGTTCAATGGAGGTAAAACTTTTAATCATTATTTAACTTTCAATTGCCAAAATAATTGGCTGATTGAGTTACAAACTCAACTGTTTTTTATAGTACTGTCCTAGTCATGGAAAAGCAATCATTGATCACCAAGAAACTACATGATAAGTGAATGAACGTATTCAATAGAAATATGAGTAATTCTTTAGCCTTTTTGTTATTACTTCAGTAACTTCAAGCTGTTAATTCATGAGCGCATTCGTGCGTTTGTCTTACGACTTGCCGGGAGCTTAGCTAAAAGAGTCAGCACACGCACTTGGCAGGGATTTAAAGTGCTTATGGCAGAGTTACGAACTATTAACTATTATTGATAGTACGGACTTTGATCCAGGAAGACATGAGATTGCATCGGCCAGTTTAGCTCACCTCCTGTTTGTGGTCGGACGCGCCGGGCTGCCCTCCCATTTCCCCTTCCACGGCCATGTCCCCAGCGTCGTTGCCGGGGGACTTGCCCTCGCCAGACGTCGAGCCGTTACCCGTTGCGTCCTGCACGCATCAGTCACGTTGAAAATACCACCGTTAAGAAGCCGCTACGCAACTGCCACTCACCCGTTAGAAAATGATAAGACACCCGTGGCAAGAAGGTACTTGTCACTAAACTGTCACCCGTCATAAAAAGTCATTAAAATGTCACCCGTCATAAAAGCTTACAAAACTGTCATCCGTCATAAAACACGTCACAAAACTGTCAGTCAGTGGTCATGTCTAATAAGACTGTCAAACTGCCGTTAAGTTGCCTCAAACTGTCACTCCCGTCTGCCACATGACCGTCGTACAACAGTCAGGAAATCTTCTATATTAGTGCAATACCTCGTTACAGCTGAGGAAAAGTAATTGCGACACATGCCACAGAGCGTTGCGCACATAAAAAGTGCAGTCGTCTACTTGGCAGACGTTAAACTAATAATTGTCTACCTGCTTGTTGTATGCACAGTTGTCTTTATGATAGATGTCCAATCACTAGCTAGGTACCTCTTCACATATAGCCTTGTTTCTGAGTCAATTAAATTGTTATGAAAATTTCTCACATTCATTTTAACCACGAAGTTCCACCGTAGACTTTTGAACCGAATACCTGGCTTGCACTTACTTACGTGAGCTTCAGGAATGCGTTGCATTTGAAGGCTAAATTGTTCAACTCGAACAACGCCAGGATGAAATATTCTTAATCATCGAATCGAATGGTTGATGAATCCATTGCTTTTTGGTGGAAATGAAGCATTCAGGATTATTACAGGAATCGTGTTCCTTGGATCGTGCAGATATTCCTGTACAATAAGCTCTGTTCATCACATGGAACTCCTGCTCGCTGTTATCATTGGGCCCCTCAACCTGGTTGCCGTTATCTCTGTTGCATACAACCTGATCACTGATTTATTGTTGTCCAGCACCCGATAACTATATTCCTGTTCTTCAGTACCTGAATGCTGTTATCCTTGTTGTTCAGTGCCTAGCTACCATTATCCTCGTTTTCCAGTACCTGAATGCTGTTATCCTTGTTCTCCAGTACCTGAATGCAGTTATCCTTGTTCTCCAGTACCTGAATGCTGTTATCCTAGTTCTCCAGTACCTGAATGCAGTTATCCTTGTTCTCCAGTACCTGAATGCTGTTATCCTTGTTCTCCAGTACCTGAATGCTGTTATCCTTGTTGCCGAGCTGGTAGATGTTGACCATGTGGGCAGCCTGCGCATGAACCATCAGGTCCCAGGGCGAGCTGAAGTTCTCCTTGCACAGCGCGCACATGAGAGCCGCGCTCTCCTCGCCGCTACCAACGCCTGCGCACCAAACTCAACTCGAGTCTTGGGACTTATGTATGGGCTTATATATATGATTATATATGGGCTTATAGTATGGGCTTACATATATGATTATATATGGGCTTATGTATGGGCTTATATACTGTATGTTATAAGTACATGGTTATATGTATATACTATATGTAAGTAACTGCATGGTATGTATGAAATCGTGCAATTGTTATCGATGTGGTCGTCATAAGGGTTTAGTGGAGTAATAAGTGACATGAAAGATGTAGATGCGACATTTTTTTTGGCTATAATATGATCATAGTCATTTAATTTTAAGAATTCATCATCAGTAAACTACCAAAAATATATGTGAATACACATATAACTTGATTACTTTTGAATTATATAAATGATATGATATATTATGGTCGTACTAACATTCTCGTCTTTCATGCAAGCAATTCACAATACGTAAAGTAGCATGAACATAATATTTCATAACTTATAATTTGAAAAATTTAATCGTTTATAAGAGATGCATAATAAGGAACACATAAGCAATAATAATAAATGAATGCGAGACACTGACGTGGGATGCCGCCGCTGAGCAGCGACAGGCTGGAGCACTTGCACGTGAAGCGCAGCTTGCAGTAATTCTTGCGGTGGTCGATGAAGTCTGCCAAGTTACTGAACAACTCCCGGCAGTTGCCGCAGATCAGGATGTCCGGACTGCCTGCGGGGACGATTAAAGTCCCATTAGAATCCTTATGCAAATAAGGTAGAGGAAAATAATAGCTTGTCCCGCAGATCAGGATGTCTGGATGTGAAACGCCAATGGTGAATAATTGTAAAATTTACAATATTATTTGAATTGCACATATTGCAGTAAAATAAAGACTAGTAGTTCCCCTCACTATAGGTGCGAAGGTCTTCGTATCCAGGCAGAACGACCTTCTTGGGGGACTGAGCTCTCTGCTGCTGCTGCTGCCGGAGGGGTACCATCATGCGAGGGCGCTTGAGAGGGGGAGTGAGCCGCGGCGCCCCCACACTCAGCCCAGCGGCTCCTGCATTGTAGCTGTCACAGAAAAATGTATATTTGGACAGACAAATTATTGATCATTTTATAACAGCGAAAGTTGAGAGTGAATTATGCGTTTCATTTTGGAGAAGATAACGATTGGGTAAATGCATAATATGATACAGAAATTTTGCAATCAAACTATTTAGCAATTGCCAAATTTGCTGAAAGTTAAGTGAAACCTTATCGTGACTAGAAATTTATCTGGGGTCGAATTGTATTAATTAAGATGAAGCTTTAGTCAATCATAATCAATCAAGATGAAGATTTATTAATGGATATTTTAAATGTACCAAGTGAAATTATTGGAACGTTCTTCAAACAGTCGCCATAAAACGTCAATTTCGTCTAATCAACTGGAAAGTAATTGGAATTCTCGTTTCAAAACCCGCAGATTTTATTAAGAGTTTGAACTCGGCGAAGGTGGGGAGAACTTCAGCCTCGGTGTTCACACCAGGGCTATAAATTTGCATCCTTCGGTCAACTGTTCAAGCAACCGCAGTACAATACAAAGTTTTCCACGATTATCAGGGATTACCTAGAGTCATTAACTCAAGTAGATCTGCTAATCTGTATTGCCAAAGTTAGATAGACGTCGGCTTTAAATCAGGTGGCCAGCAGACGACCAGAAATTTGAGCGCAAAGTGTCCTGCAAATAAATTATGCTATGGGACACAATGATCGATGGACAGCTACTCCGCCAAATCACCGTGAAATGAGGCCCAACTCTAGGGCTTTGTAAAGAAACGCAAACCACCGCGAGCTCGCCAACTTTAATGGGAAACTGTCACCGGCGCGGGCTGCTCGACAAACTTGTGCTGACTAATGTACAGCGAGAGCAACTGAATTGGGAATGATATTCATAACCCCTAATAATAAACTGGATCGGTTATCATGGATGAATGTGATTTACAAACTGATCATCATCATCATCATCGATAAATAAAGTAAAAAGAATAAGATAACTGCGGTGCAGTCTAAAAAATTAGAGATTTAGTTTGAGGTTTCATTTATAGAAGGTACTCGACGATTAGAATGGATATTCAACGCGAAACAAATACAGAGTATATAAAATCTATTAACAGAAAATTTGGATGCAAGGCACTTGTAAGACTTAATAACGACCCTGTTTCCATATCCAGCTAGCGAGAATCCCGAATTTCAACTCAACATGCGAAAATATGGCACCTCATTAAGGTGACATGAAAGTTTCCGACCGGAAAATATAACGCTTTCAAACTTTTGGTTAGAATTTTAATTGCTCAAGTTTGCTTCGCGAGACAAATTTTTACGAAAAAAACGTGCACTTGAAGACCACAGAAGATCATAGACTTACAAAGAGTATGGGGAAATAGTGTACTGTTTGAAGGCAGACTAGGCTAATTTTTTCTGAGTACTTAAGGTTGTAAATTAAAATTGAAATATGATTAGAAATAACAAATTCGCCTTCATGTGGATAATGGAATTAATCAACGCCAAACAAGGATTAGGAACCTGAATCAATCTTTTTGGACAGGCTGACCAAGTGGAGATTCAATCAGCCGCTGATCAGCAATCAGGAGCGCAATCATGGAGCTATTGACGAATTTGCTGACAACAGCAAACGCGTTAACTCGGCTGACAGCCGCGACGCTCTCGGACCAGTTTCTCTCCGATATTTTTTTTAGAATCCTCGATAACTTTTTTCATTGGTTTATTGATAACGATTTTTTCAAGTTAATATGGTATTATTTATTATATAATTTTTTCTTGATCTGTCTATGAAATAATGGAACTTCCAAGACAAAAACGAGAATTTTGCACTAAATAATGAAAGAATCTATAAGGTGTCATGCAGATCCAATAAATAAAATATTAAAAGATACAAGTTTTACATCTCGACGTGACTTAATTGTAATTCTTAATTCTAAACTTACCAATGCCGATTCACTAGGGGAAGAACGAGGCTCACCTGTCATAGAACTGCTCCCTGCAAAACAAGAATATTGTCGTTAATATAAGGTACGACAATCAATATATAAAATATTTCCAAAATTAGGCAGGCAAAATGTGAAGCTCGTCGTTCTTATGGAATGTTTGTACGGATACGCTGAATTAGATGGCTTCATGTACATTAAATGGAATCTACTTACTTGTGATTTAGAGAATGGACAATTTTCCTTCAGATTGATATATTATGATCCGTTTTACAGGGTAATTATTCCTTCTGCAGTGTAATGTGAAGCAACGGATTAATATTGGCGCATAAATTTATGCAGTCTAATAACAAATTTATGATGAAAACGGGCCACGTTTCGATTTATCACAAAAGTCTTCACTATATTCAGTACATTCAGGCGCATGCATATTTCTCGGCTTTACCTCATATTCAGCAACTATTTCCAGTTCAAAATTCAGTATACATCTCAGCAGCTCATGGCTCATTTTCATGATATAGAATCCTGTGCATTTTATTTTTCTTCCTGAGCTCCTCTTTACAGCGAGTTAATATCTCGACTCCTCTCGACTCTGGCGCTCCATTCCCGAAATGAAGCCGAAACAAAAGGAATTCGCTACGACGGCTCAGAAGCGCACGTTCGATAATAACCCGAACCGAGCCATAATAGCCTCTTATATACTGTATATGCACGCTGGAATTCAACCTGGCAATATTTTTCTACGCAATAGCAGTACGCGCAGTATTAGTCTACATAAATGTAGTGCAATTCTACACTATAAGCTAGCGAATCAATTCAAACGTACATAATGTTAGCCATTGCAAAATTAGCCCACGTAATATTAACAATTTAAAAATTGACCCACCAAATATTAGTCCTCACAATACAATTCCACGGAATATAACCCCGCCCTCTCAATATTACCCCGCGCAATATTGGCCTCCCAGTCTAATGAAGCCAGACTTCGATTTTTGGGTCTCGAGGGCTCGCAAGCTCAACGGCGCTTCTTTTGTTGGGCGCCGAGTGATGCCGAGAGTCAAAAACTTCCACGCAGAATGAAGCTTCACAGAATGATTCGCAAGTTCGTCCGCGGTAAAAAAATAACATTTGATCGTAAAATCAGTCACGTTCGTTGTCAGAGCCAGAAACGAAGGGAGTATTGAATACGGTTAAATTTAGGCGTATAAGGTTCCGAGTTTTCGCATCACATAAGTCAGTTTATAAGTCAGTTAACGGTAGCATACTTCAACATATAAAAACATATAAAGGGAAGTTAATATTAATCATATATACTCAATTGCGATCCTACGTACCAATTCTACTCGGTACTTAGCACCAACTTTACATCCGAACTACGCTCGGTAATTCGCTTCACCTCAACATCCAAACTACACTCGGTCCTCCACTTCGGCATTCGAGTCGCTCTACTTGCAGCTGTCTTCCCTGACGTCACACGAGTCGCTTCGATTCCCAGTAATTGAGACCAGGATAATTGAGGCAGGCAGGGAAGCGTGTGCCGGGGAAGTGTCTCGGGAAGCCAGCGTATCTGATTTCTCAAGTTTTAGGCGGCGCTCGGTAGAGACATGGCCCATCGTACGTCGAAACCGAAATAGTGCTGGAAACTATGGACTATATTGCGCTGATCTATTTTAAAGATTGCTAAGTTAAGGCCTTTTACGTTGAGTCATAGGATGATAATTGATTAAAACCACCAATTAAAATTTATCGCAAATAAATTGTCCTACATGGCTTTATTGTACCAAAAAAGCATGCAGAGCTCAGTCACTCTCAGGGACACAGAGAGATAACGCAGTTTTCTGTACACAAAAATTTTCATGAATCATCGTTCGGTCACTCGTTATCAGGGCTGCGACCCGCCGGGGTTTGGCATGCAAAGCAATGGACGGGCGCACAAGGGAGAGCTCGTAGATAGGCAGTGGATGCGAGGTCTGTTATTGACGGCCGGTATCAGGCGTCATTTAGGAGGCACAAAAGCGGCCGCCTGTCCTCAATGGCCGTGGTTTGTGTGCTTCTCTCGAGCCCTAACGCCTCATCGCATCCAAATTTTTTGTAATTTTCCGAGCGAATTCGCGGCGGCGACCATTGCAAGATCGAGGGTCGGTGCCGGACCAAGCAGAGGGCATGTGCGTGTGTGGTGGTAGGGATGACTTATTTGCATCACGTGCAGGTGGAAAAATCGTTATTTACGATGCATTCTTCGTAAGTATTTGTGTCTATGATCGCCATCCATCGTGCGCATGCATGAAAATGTTTGTGGGCAAACGAAATCATTGAGCAAATTATTTCAATTCATCGCGAGAATGGATAAGATTCCACACGTGCAAGTACCCACAATGACGATAAAAAGTGGAAAAACTGTTGTTCTGATAATAAATAAAGCTTGATTTAACGCAAAGGTTTGGGGGAAACAATATAGGAGCTGTTCAAATTGCCTGCACGAGAGCCAAAACATGTCGTTGGGAGCAGCTGGAAGCCGCGGAGAATGAAATTGGGAAAGAAACATCGAAACAAAATAAATATCTTTCGAAAACTTGAAAACATAGGCTGCGGAAACAACAAAATCGCTGCACATATCTCGGCCATGTTTGTGCGAAAATAATTAAATTTATTTTTGATGTACGAATTATGAGTGAATCTTAAATACAATTGAAATTTTTTAATGAATTCATCATTTTGATTGATTAATTAAATAATTTCAATTAATCCAAAATAAGTATTGAACTAACTAGTTTGAGTTCGTGGCATTGCTACAGCTCTGAACAATCTGGAACTTAATTCTAACTTACTTGAAATAAATCAAAGTATAATCTTTGATAGCTTCATTAAAACTAATGTATAATTGTGTGAGGCAGTTCATACAGAACATGGATTAAAACTCATGAGAAGGTAAAATTCTTCAAACCAGAGATACAGCAAATAATTTATTGCATTTACCGAAAAAAATAAATTGTGTAGCATTTAAAAGTTTTTTGGGCAAGCAAACATAATTGTATTGTTTTTCATAAATGAAAAATATCAGTTCTTCATTGCCAAAAGAGCTCGAAGATGGAACTCACAAATTTTGTTCATATCAGTTACCCACACGAACTAAAATTGTACCTCGTAATAATAATGAAGAATCAATATCAAAGGTAATTATATAATGCTAAACAATATCACAGAAACGCTCATTTTCACGGAGAAAAAGTTATTATTGACAAACATGAACAATTGCGTACAGTGAGTCGACGTTAAAGCTTTTGGTGGAAAATCTCAAATGCAACATATATAAAAAATGAAATTTTAACAAAAATATTTCAACTGGAATAAATCGCTCGATGGGGCACAGCCGAAACGAGTAAAGTGTCCAGTACGGCATCCCATAGAACTGAATACCTATTATTATAGTATTTATTCCAATTGAAATTACAAACTTGTAAGACAACCCATAACATATATATACTAATCTTGGGTTGTGTCCTTAATATCAACGTTAACAAAAAATTACCTGAAGCATCGTTTTTTATATGCTCGTATAAAGCTGAACTAATTTCACACCTTTTGAGCATCATCTGGGTGAAAGTAATCTTTCAAATCGACTAATAAACCGGATTTCGTTTTTGAACATTTAAAATAAAAACCGAATTTGAGACAGAAAGTGACAAAGGTGATATTACATGTCGTAGACACAAATTCAATATTAAACTCAAGTAGAGAATACTTAAGCTCTGCAGAACTCATCCGTGCTCATGGTGGCTACCTAAATTCATCCATTCTCGAGTTGTTCATAAAAAATGAATAAGTTTCTCAACTGCTCGAAGTCACCAGGACCAAATTTCGACCTCAGCAGGTGGTAATGTTAATAATGGCCTTTTGACATTTCCTTTTAGTGCCATGAATACATTTATGACGAACGGTATTAGACATTTTTTGCGCGAAATTTGCGAAAATTTTCGAAATTGGCACTTGGATAAGTTTACAGCACGAGATTATGTTCTCATAATTTCTCACAATGATTTAGTCGGAATAGCATCAAATTTTTCAGTCAGACCAGAAAGCTGGAACGGAACTTGCCATCACACTATGATACTACGAGAAGACGCCTGTACTGGAATCTGTTTTTCCCTAGTACATCCTTCCTGAAAAATGCTGCTTTCACGCAGAGTTCGACGCTAAAAAGAATTTACGTCACAAAACATAAATGAACACAAGGGCCAAAAACTTTGCATGCAAACATAAACTGATACATTCAGAATAAAGACCGCTGTGAATGTATTTTTATAATCAGCAGGCGCATTGTGAACTAAATAAAAACTTTTATATATAACATCAAGATAGAAAATACGATATTCGTTAATGTTATGGTGCGCCTACAACATACAATCATCCAACATTTTCTATCATCGCGGAATTTCCTACTGACGTAAAAGTTACGACCGCCGTGAGAAGTTTCGGTGATGCAGGCACTTGCGCAGGAATGAGCCGTTATCGGGAGCAGATAAGGGGCGCTGTGCCCGATAATAGAGGACCTCAATAATGGTCGTATCATCCCGCCCGTCGTGGCCCGCAGTAACTTCATGATCACGAAATATGAAAACAATTCCGAGTTCTATGATGAAAGAAATTGCAACAATGACCGAAAATTCTATCATTTCAAAGTTCATGATACGGTATACGAAAATTATTCATTTTAGTTTGATAAATGAAGTTGGCGAGTTTTAAGATAAAAGTTACACAGCAGCAGTTAACGCTCATATACATTGTGTACAAGTTGTTCGTTTCCCACACCCAAAGTTGATGTTCTCGCAACATTTGACTCTTCATAAAGTACAATTCCAGGATGTGAAAGTTTCATCACAAGCTGACACAAGGAACAGTAATTATATACAAGGCCTGGTGCACGCGATAGCAATCACCAGCCCAAGAAGCTTCCGTAGATATCACAAGTCGACCAATAGACGGAACTTTCGTAGGCAGGATATGAACCGTTGAGGATCGTGACTATCAGCTTATCGGTGGTATAGTTTCATAT